ACTAATTATTTTACTTATTAAATAGTTAAAACGCTATAATACTTAGGTCCTTAAGCCAGACTTAATAGCTACTACCTAAAGTTAATATATAACCAGGCTATACCCTATATAATAGCAGAGACCTAGCTTAATAATATTAAACTAAGGCTATTATTTAGTATAAAAGCTAGCGCTGCCTAAGGTATATCTAGAAAGTTAGGCTAATAAGCCTCCCTTATAGTAAAAGGCTATTATAAAAATATAAAGTATTAGTTATAGCTTATAATAGTTATAAATTAATTAATATTACTTATTTAACTAATAGGTAACTTTTTTTAAAGGGCTAAGAATAGGGTAAATTTAGGCTGCTATAGTTATAAACTATAGTAAAGTATAAACTACTTTAGTAATAAAAAGGGAGTATAAAGGTTTTTATTTTAGTAGTAGGTATAGGTTTTTTATAAAGGGTTTTTCTTATTATAAGGAAATATACAGAGGGATTAGAAATAGCTATTATTAGTTAACTAGCTATCTAAAGTAATATTATTATTATTATTCTATAATTAGTTATATATAGTTTTTTATAAATAAAGTATTATATATAAGTTATATTTTTTCCTATTTAAGAAATTATTTTTTTAATTAAGTAAGGTAATAAGGGTTTATATTAATATATTTTATTATTTTATTATTTCCTAAAATTTACTATTATATAATTCCTTCTCCCTTAAGGGTTTATTAAAATTTACTTAAGTATATTATTTTATTTAATTTAAGGCTATTAAATACCTTTATTATATTTATATTTATAATTTTATTATTATTAATATTTTTAATATAATATTATATTTACTTTTTTAAGTTTTTTATACTTTTATTAAAACTAATAATAAGTATATTATTAATAGCTTAGTTAATTATATATTAATAATTAATTTTTTTAAAAATTATAATATTTACCTTAATTTACTTAGGCTACTTTTTCCTAAGTACTTTAGGAAATTATTTTAATTTTTTATTTTATTTTTATATATAAAATATTAATTATTATAATAAGTAATTTAATTAAATAGTTTATAAAAAACTATTTTAATAATATTAATTTATACTTTATTAAACTTTTTTTATTAATAAGTTTTTTTAAAGTATTTATTTTCTTATATTTTCCTTAGTAGTTTTTTTTTATAATTTATTTTTTTATAATAGTTATATTTTTTTATAAACTTATAAATATTAATAATATTTAAGTTTATAAGTTTTAGTTTTTTATTATTAAATAAAGCTAAATTATACTTTTTAGTTTAATTAATATAATATTAAAAATAATAATAAGCTTTATTATTTTCTTTTTTCTTAACTTATTATTCTTTATATTATTTAAATTATTAATTATTAATTTAGTTAGCCTTTTAAGATAGTTTTTTAAATATAACTAAAAAGTTATTCTTTACTAACTTATTCTTAATTTTTAATTTTACTTCTTAATAATATAATATTTACTTTAATATATTTTTAAGGTTTATTTTAGTATAAATTTAAATAAACTTAGTAGTATATTTAATATAAGTGCCTTACTAATATAGCTAAAGTAGTATATTTTTAGCTTTTTTTTTTTATTTATTTATTTAAATAGTATTTTAAGTTATTTTTTAAATTTATTATAGTTATTAAATAATATATTAGTAAATACTTTTTTTTAAATTTATTTTTTATATTTAAAGTTATAAAAGTATAATTTAAATTAATTCTTAGGTTTTTTAATAAGTTAACTTTTTATTATATTAATTTATTATTTTTCTAAAGCTATAATAGTTAAAAAGTGCCTAAAGTAAGCTTTTATATTTATAAAAAATCCTTTAATTCTTTATAAATTATTATTAAATAGTATAAGTAATAATAGTTTAATAATTTCTTTTAGTTCCTTTATATATAGTCCCTTTTACTAGCCCTAGGCTATAGGTAATTAACTTTATTATTATTACCCTTATATATTAAGTTAGTTTTTAAAAATATTAATAATATTTTATTAATCCTTAATAGTTTATTTTATATAGGCTATTAAGTTTTCTAAGTTTAATAATTACTAAGTTTTTTTTAGCTATATTAGTTAATAATACTTATAGCTAAAATATAGTTATTTTTTTAATATTTAAGATTTTAATATTACTATTATAAGTATTTTAATTTTTACTTTTATAATTTATTTTTATATTTAGAACTCTAAAATTAACTATTTAGTATTTTTTATTAAGGTATTACTTATAGTCTAAGGTAATTTCTAAATAAAAGTTATAAATATATAATAAGCTAAGCTTTTATAATATTAATATAAAAGGAATTTTTAAAAAATAAACTTTATATTAAATTTATATTAGTAATTAAGCTAAGCTAAATTAGTAAGTCATTAATAAAGTAATATAGTTTATTTATATAATTAGTAAATAATATATTTATAATATAATTAAGTATTATTTTATATTTATAACTTATTATTTAATTATTTTAAATAAATAAAAAAAAAAATTTATATATTTAATTAGCTAAGTATTTTTAATATTCTTAATAATAGAGTTTATTAAGTTATACTTAATTAACTTAATAATTAATTTTATTAAGTTATTCCTTATTAATTAAATAGCCTGTTGTTTATTTATAGCCTTTTACTTAAGTGGCCTATAGTTATAGTTATAAGAGTTTAGCCTATAATATTAAGGTATATAATTTTATTAAATAGTTTTTTAATTTTAAAAATATTATATATATAATTTATTTTTAAATAAAATTATTATTACTTTTTATAACTTAATAAAATAATTAATTTATTTAATTTAATTAAGTTATTAAATTATAAATTATAAGCTTAAAGTTAATTATATTATATTTAAATTTTATTATTTAGGTTGTTTTATATATTTTAAGTTTAATTTTAAACTTTAATTAACTATACTTTATAATCTAAATTTTTAAAATTTAACTTAGTTAATTATAATTAATTAAGTTAAGTTATAAATTAATTTTAGATTTTAAACTAAAGGCTAGGGCATAGTTTTCCTTTAACTTAGTTATTATAACTTTATTAAACTTTTTAATAATAAATATAACCTTTATAAATTTTTAATATTATTTAATAAATAAGATATTTAGTAGTATTATATAAAGAAAAGAAAATAATAATAGTTATAAATTATAGTTTATAATTACTACTAGTTAATAAGGCATTAATAATATAATAAGTTTAATTACTTTGGTCAATTAATTAATATAGTAAAGGATTAAAAGGATAATAGTGTGGTATTATTGCTGTATAGGGTTATATACTATACTTAATCCCTTTATTTATTTATTTATTTATATAAACTTAATACTACTATTTATAAGCTTAGCTAAGGATAATTTATTAAGTAAGTTATTATTGTAACAGGATTATAGGCCCTGAAGGGCGCTGTAATCTATTACCTATTATATAGGCTGTTGTAAAGGGAATCCTAGCATAAAGTGCTAGTATTGCTGATCTTTTTGGATTATTGGCTCAATTGGCACCCTTTCCAATTGCTGTTATAATTATAACTTAATAACTTTTATTAAGTTATAAAGTATATATATTTTTTTAATATAGTTTAATATTATATAAAAATAATATATTTATTATATAAAAATTAAGTACTTTATTATATTATAAATTTATTATATTACTTACTTTACTTTTATAATATACTTATTAATAATAAATTACTAGCTATAAAATATCCAATTAATAACAGCTGTAAATACCAGGCATTATTTAACTAAAGTTTATTACTGGGCTAGTAGCAGCGGCGCTGCAGCGCGTTAACTCCTAGATATCGGGCTGGTGGAGCGGATCTTAAACTAGTTTCCCGCGGCAAAGTAATTTAATGGTCCGGGCGAAGTTGAAGAAAATCTTTTCCCGAGCAAGACGATTGATTACTACCAGCTGCAGCAGATAAGCGAGCGCGAAAGCCGCCGTGAATGGATTAATGCTGCACGGTCATTTGTCGCCCAACCGGGACTGATAGCAGTAGCGGCTTGTTATTCCCTGGTTCTCAAATGTTATCTTCACCCCTTTCTTTTCGCAGGATAAGCGGCGGGCATTGTGCAGTCGTTGGCAATAGCTCGAGAGACTAAATCTCGACGTCTCAAGCAAAACCCCTGATTCCCAGAACGTCATGTTGATCCGCCGGCCACCACATCCGGCATCGGTGATGCTTTTTCACTGTTGCTGCATAATCAATATGTAAGCATGCCAACTGTCAACGTGTCAAACCGCCATGTTGCTGTCGAGAAATTGGAGAAATCCCGCCCCCCTTGAACCCTGTCGCCGCGGGAAACCCAGGGAAAACGCATAAATCGAACAGTCTAGGCCCCGACCCTTCAGAGGAAGACATCCTAGTGGTCGAATCTGCTGAGAATTTCCGCTTTAAGCAATCCATGCTTAGGGGTGTATTTTTTCTAACTCCCCGGGATTCGTTGGCGTTGCCCGACGATTTTGTGCGGGCAAAAGCGCCGCGGGCTTCTTGAACATTTTCTCTGGTCTGCTTTTCCTTCCTTTTGTCCTTCTGATGACCATGATTCTTTTCAGCTCTCAGCCATCAATGGGTGGGCAATTCGTGTCTTTGTATGAAAATCACTCGCGTGATGTTGTTGTGAGTACAAGTAGCCTTTTTGGATGAAAAATCCAAGCACAATGTAAGTGAAAGAGCCAAGTCAACGTGACCGACCGCCTAAATTCTGCCACACGGCGCTGTAGATAAACGAAATCTAAGACAACTCTCGCAAATCAGGCCTTTCATTCATCAAATTTACGCCATATATTCTAATCTCATGTCGTGTTAAGCATGTGCCTCTAACGTGCACCCATGGGATGGAGCATGGTACGTCTAAAACCTATCATGATGAAAGGGGGGGAATGTTATCATTACAAAAAAAAAGAAGGAGCAATTACATGAACCAAACATGGCTTCAAAGCAATCGACGCTGTACGAAAAAAGAAGACTAATCTCCCCTTAAAACATCTCACGCATGTGAGGGAACACTGTTCCATCTGCCGAGGCAAAAATGGCAGCCTGTGACTCGGGAGAAGATAGAGCGCTGTGAGGAGGGATATGCTGCTCTTCCCCGTTGCTCCCAAACTGAACCCCATTGAGGCCGACGTAGCCCTCAAATATGCGTGACATCTCACTCTGTATCTTTTGGCCGTTATTGTTGTTCACTATGGGTTCCGTATTCTGCCTAGGAGGCATTGGAGGATGCTGAAAAATGGGCTGGCCAGAGGGCATGGTATCCATGTGGCCTCTTGCAAGGCCAATCATGCCTAGTGCTGCGCTCGAATGAGGGTCTTCATCTGGGTTCAGACCAAAGCGAGGTGCCACGTCCTTGAGCGACTTGATGGTTCGCCACAGCCGCTGAGACACCCAGCTCTTCACGGACAGGTCCTTGACCAGATCGAGTGCCATGTAGAACTCTTCTCTGCAAACCGCACTAAATCGTACGGGTGCGTGTACTGAGGCGAGGAAGACGACGGAGATTGCTGCTGCAAGAAACTGGTGATAAAAGACCTGCGTTCTTCGGTAGAGGTTGGTAGTGCTGTTGAGGTGGTGCAGATACTGGATGGTGTCCTTTGCCAAGTCAACAACACGCTGCGCTTGTAATGGATGTTGCATGATGCTGGTAGCACTATGTAGGACGGGAGTATACAGCCATGTCCTTATCTAGGAGGGCATTAGTTCGGCTTGGGCAAGTTTGACAGGTGCAACATGACTTACTTGATTGAAACGTAGATACGTCCATATCCTCAACCGTTGCAGATTATATGATGGTGTTGATGTCATTTGGGTTTCTTTATCCCAATTACGCACTCTGATCTCTTCCGGTACACTCTCGTACCACCGCAGGATCTCTTGGTCAAGTCGTTCAATTTCCTCCTGGCCCAGTTCTCGGGCGAGAACGGGGCCAAAATGAGATACTTGACGCCAGACTTTGGCACCTATTCGAGAGTATGTGATCATGGCAACAAGGTAGGGATATTCATCCTAGTTGACGTTAGTCCGGCAATCTCCTCCCCCTTCTTCTTTTTCCTCCACAGTCGTCAAACTCACAGGCATGGGTAAGGTCGGGTCAATCTCATCGTCTTGGATGGCATACGGCAGGCCCGTTCCAAACGCCCATCGGCGATCAAGAACGTATGCAGACCAAAAGCTGTTGAGAGCATTCTTCCTCTCAGTCTCATTTTGTATCATCATCAGCCCTCTCTTTTGGTGAATGCCCAGCTCTACGCACAAGCGCACCACCTGTCCCATGACACGCCAGGCAAGCACTTCTTCATTGGATAAGAATCGATAACCGGCAACGAGAGCCAAGAGGGGAAGGTCAGAGACTTCAAGGCCGTCCGACATGAGTTTTCTGTTAATAGTATTTTCCATGCTCTCATATAACCGCACCGCTTTCCCACAATGACCGTGTGCTTCTACAACAAGAGCACAACACATGATGGCTTTTAATTGCAGAGTTTGAAGGTCATTCAGAGGTTCAGTTGGTCGTTGGCTCTTGATATAAAGCGAGATGTTCTTGACATGCGCAATCACAGTTTGGATATTGAGAACAGGATACATGATGCCAATCTCGTCTTCATGCACTCGGCAGAGGCGCACCATCTCATCTTTGTCAAACTCCAAGAGCGGGTCTGGCAACTGGGGCAGTTGGCCTGAAACTGAAGAGGAAATGTGGTTGTTTGGTAGTGGCTCATTGTCATCTCCTTCTTCGGTAGTCTTCCACCCCATGTTGCTGATTGTCTCTTTGGCTACATCGAGGGTGAAGGCCATGCTCGTCGGGCCCTGGAATGGCGTCTGCCTTCCAGGATAATCCGGTCGGTGGCCAGATGCCGAGCTCTGTGATGGTGATGGTGCGATGATTGAGTTAGTAGCAGGTATGATGCGATCAGAAGATGGGTGTGCGAATCGCGACTCGCTCTGCATGTTGCGCATGCTCTGGTTGAGCCAGCTGACCTCTTCTTGGAGCCGGCTCAGCTGCGCCGCAATCTTTTTGTATTCTTCCGAGTCTTTGAAGTTGTTTGAACAGCAGTTGGGCGCATAGAGGCACGCCAGGTTGAGATTGCCGCAGCGTTGACAAGGCGTTTCTCCATTGCACTTGATCTTGCGCCTCTTGCACTCGTTACTGTAGGGGCGGGCCCCCAAATGTCAGCAGAGCTCAGTATATTCCACCGTCATTGCATCCTTTGATAGACAGCCAGCAGGTGAGAAGGGATTTTGTAGATTACTGAAAGCCATAGAGTGCCGAGTGTGGGCTTACCAGGCAATGGAAATGTACTGGACCACGACGTCAGCTGATGGGATTCAACCAAAAACGGGCATAAACAGTTGAATGATTTGTCTGTCCATCTGCCGGGATGTACAATGAAAGCAACAGCCAAATATTGCCTTGTGCTTCCAGCGCCTCGGCTCTCTTCCTTTTTCCCCCTTGGCGCAGCGTGTACTCGTATTGGACGGAACGCATCGGCAACATCCTCACACCCAATCGCCTCACAGGCAGCCCTTGATAAAAAAATACAACCAACGACAATTGCATAAACTCACCCGATTCCTCTTGCTCCGCGTCTGTTTCGCGCCTCCCGCCTCGTCCACCGACTTCCTCTTGTTCGCACTGCCATCGCCAGGCGAAGCGTCGTCGTGCAGCGCGGAATTGTCTCCGTACATGGCGGAACCTGGGCTCATGTGTGTCCGTGGCTGCGGCGTCTCGTACGAGACACTGGCCGAGTCGCTCAAAGCGGCGACTGGCGCCGTCAGGTAGCGCAGGTCCGATGCCTGCGTCTCAATCTGCTCCATGTCGCCCTTTTCCCTTCATGTGAGGGCCACAAGCACAAGGGGAGTTAAGAAGAGAAAAAAAAGGTATAGAGAGGCCGTTCGGACTTTGTGGCACGCTCCTGCACCAAGCATAAAGCCGCGCCACGTGACCTCACAGCGCCCGGGACCCGGTGTGGGAAAAGATGGGATGGGATGGACTCGATGCTTCGTGCTTCTGCTTTCCCGCACTCAAGATAACGGCCGACGGAGCTGAAGTACGGGTTACAGGCGTCGTGAGTTCCGCCTCTAGGAAGCTGAGCCGCTTACGGGCAATCAATCGATCAATCAATCTTGTCGCGTGGTGGAGACGAGCCGGAGCCGAGGTCGACGCAACTGAACTGAACTGACAGGTACGAGTAAAGTACAGGCCCTTGGACTCCTTGATCAGCCTCGACAGGCATGTACCAAGTAGAACGAGGCACACTCGAGGCATGGCAGGGCGCCTAATGGGCGACGCAAGGCAAAGCGAGGCAAAGCGCGGGCGTTCCCAAAGCCATGTGGAATTGCCGGTTCCCTCAATATTCCGTAATATGGCTTGGTTGATTGGGTTGCAGCCGTGGGGCCCGCGGAGCACGGAATTTGGCGATGAAGGACGGGATACGGGTAACGTTATCCAAATGACAAAGCCGTTTTCCTATTTCCTATCTCGAGCGGCTCTTGACGAAATCCGCCAGCAACGTGCACCATGCATCACGCCTGTCCACGCAGACAGCTGGCGGAGACGATTCTCAGACAACAAGAGACTTGGACACCAAAGAGCTCTTGGCTTTGCTTTTGATTTCATCTAAAGGATATTTTGGTTACATTTCTCATTATACCGTTGATTCTCCCCTTCCAAACTTTACGCCCCGTGAGCAGGCAGAATCGTGCCCTCGCAGTCGCCAAATCCGATCCGCACTCCGTTCTTCTCGCAGTATCCTCGCATGTTCAGGCTATCACCATCTTGGATGAAACGACGCACCCCGCCCTTCTCAAGCTGAACATCGGCCTTGCCACCCTCGGTCATTTCAAGCAAGCTGCCACGCTCCCGAGGCTCTGTGCCGCTAATGGTTCCTGAGCCCAACAAATCTCCGGCCCTGAGAGGACATCCGCCAACGGTATGGTGCGTTATCATCTGCGGGAAGGACCAGAGCAGATTTCGGCCGCTTGTCTTGGACAGGTCGACGTGGTCGCCATCCGCAGCTGTGACACGCATCATATTAGTATTTTTCAACAAATGGGACTGAGGAGGGGGGCAAGTCGCTCACTTGTAAGGCCAACTTCGAGCTGAATGTCGAACACGCTCTCCTTCTGCGACTCCTTGAGATAATCCTGAACAGGGGTGTCGTTCGGCAGTGGCTGGGCTCGGAAGGGCTCCAGCGCATCCGCGACAACAACCCAAGGGCTAATAGTTGAGCCAAAGTTCTTTCCGTTGAACGGTCCGAGGGGCACATATTCCCACGCCTGGATGTCGCGAGCGCTCCAATCATTGAGCAGGACAAAGCCGAAAATGTACTCCTCGGCCTTGTTGATGTCGATTGACTCGCCCATCTCATTGGGCTTGCAGATGAAGCAACCAAGCTCCAGCTCGAAATCCAATCGACGGCAGGCAACTGTCGTCGGCTCTTTGGGGTTCGCCGCTGGGTTGGGCAGGATCTGGCCACGGGGTCTGCGGATAGGTGTCCCAGACACGACGATGCTGGATGAGCGGCCGTGGTATCCCACTGGCAGGTGTGTGTAGTTTGGCTGCAGGGCATTGTCCGGGCCTCTGAACAGGACACCGACTTTGTAGGCGTGATGGTAGCCGGCGTAGAAGTCGGTGTAGTCTCCGATCTGCATCGGCAAGTGCATCTTGACCTTCTCGACCGGAATCAGGACCTTTTGCTTGAGCGACTCATTGTCCTTGAGAATCGCTGGCACATCTGTGGATTGACTTAGAATGCGCTGGAGATCACCCCTCACAGCACGGTGAACTGCGCGTCCACGCTCAGCAAAGGTGTTTAGAGATGTCTGTCCGAAAACTCCCTCCAGGTCACGAAGCGAGCTCAGCTGCTGCTTCGCCTGCTCATCGCCAGCGAGTGCTTTGAGGTCAATGACGAAATCGCCAATTCGCGAGGCGGCGCGGGGCTGCGAGCCACCCTCAGAAAAGATGCCAAAGGGCAAGTTGTGGATGGAGAAGTCGCCGTTTTTGTCCAGCGGGACCCAAGAAGTTTGTGAAGCCATCTTTGATTCTGGTCTTTTACTCGTTCCCCGTTAATCAAGAGAGAAAAGAGAAAAGCGAAAGAAAAACAACCAACAGAAGAAAAAAAACGAAAAAACAGCTTTGAGCTCTTGCGATTTGTTTTCAATCGGCATATGAAAGGCGGGATGCTAACGGGGCACTTCCGCGTTTGTGGGGAAGAGCCGAGAAAACCCGCCCGCGCCCGGCAGCACTTCCGAGGCGGATTCGGATTCGGAAATGATTGCGTTTCCCAAGCTCGACTCCGTTGTAGAACAATTCGTTGCATCCTCATCTTATTGTTGTTGTTGGTAATAATTGATTATGTTGCAAGATTTGGAATCATCAACTTACAAATACGGTGCGTCGGTGGGAATGTGGATGATTCCGACACTCACACTGCCGGCCATTTTGCTCAGTAGATATGGAGCGTCTATTTCGAAACCTGGAGGGTGATATGGTTGAAAGGATGCATAATATGGGGTGTACCTGTGTATCAGAAAATCTAGCTGCTATATGTAAGAACTACAGGATCAAGTAGACATCACGCATCACCAACAACAAGAAAATAATGTGAAATGAGCTTTATTAACACAATGTATCATGTCCAACCCAGCTGGTTCCTCTTCCAGCCATCCATCAATGCCAGTATATAAGAAAAAAGCCCCTATTCTTATTTAAACAGCCGTAATCCGGTGTCCTCCTTATACAGAGCCTCCATCTCCTCATCCTCGCTCTCCTCCTCATTAAGCTCCATCTTCTGACCAAACAGAGTTCCAAAGAAGCGATCAATGGCCTCCTGTTCCCAGCTCCTCCTGTCCTCAGACGCCATAAAGTTCTGCAGCTTCTCGTGCACTGTGAACCGCATCTTTCGTCCTTTGCTTGCCTTTCGGTCCACCACCTTTCGGGACTTGGCCTCTTTGTTGGCGGTAAGCATCACCGACGCCACCGCGCTGGACTGCTCTGCGGCGGACTCTACTGTGCGTTGATCCACAAGCTCCTTCAGAAGGAGCTGGTAAAAGTCGGCATCGTCGTAAATGTCCTCGCTCTCAGTGATCTTCTTAGAGGCCTGAACTGGTGCGCAAGATCGAGGGACTCGAGTGCGTTTGACCAGCCGCTCATCGGGACTGGCAAGCTGGTCTTGAAGGGCACTGATGAGGGTCTTGGGCTTTGCGCCAAGTCTACTTGCTGGCGCGGCGGCATTTACGCTTTGCACCTTGCGAGACCATTTATCCAGTCTATCCTCGCGGAACCTGGCGGCCCTTTGATCATCCTCCTGAATCTGCTCCCAGATTTGCTGGTTGGAAAGGTCAATCTCGATTCGCTTGCGTTTGCTGCCGGCGGCTGTGGGAGGGGCCAGGTTTTCTCGAAGGTCGCTGATGGTGTTTAGCAATTTGATAGCAGCTTCCTCAGCAGCTTCGTAAGCCTCCGTCTCTGAGCTCGAATCAGAATCCAGGGTGGGGAATGTATTCGCCGCGACGAGTGCCTTTTGGAGTCGGATACGCATGTTGAGCAGCCCGTCGTAAATTTTCCTCTGCTGCTGAATAGCCACTCCTTTCTGGACTTCGGTCTGGTTTGATGATGGAGTTGCCGGGGAAGGTTTGGCGCTTCGCTTGGCTGATTCTTCGTCTTCATCCTCGTCCTCGTCCTCGTCTTCATCTTCCTCGTCGTCTTCCTCATCCTCATTTTCATCATCCTCATCCTCCTCCTCGTCTTCATCGGAAGTTCCATTGCCGTTCAACAAGGCATCAAGACCATCGTCCATATCTTCGTCCTCATCCTCATCCTCATCGTCTTCTTCTTCTTCAGAAGCAGACATAAAGTCCGCCGCAGAGGCTCGCTTGCTCTTGGGCTGCTTAGGCTTTGAGCTGCCCCGGAACACAAATGCGTTCAACCGTTCATCATCAGATTCGGCCAGAGCATTGTCGCTACTAATTTCCGAGTCGCTGGCTTCTGCTGTATCAGCGACTAAGTCGGCCGTTTCTGGGTCATCAAATTCGGCATCTTCATCATCCTCATCGTCGTCGTCTTCCTCCTCATCTTCGTCATCGTCCTCCTCTTCTAGAGCCTGGCGCGAAACTCGAGATCCTCGGTATTGGCGGCCCAGAGAAAGCCCTTCCTTCTCCCGAAGCTTACTACGCCCAACCGTCACGTAGTGCTCGGTGCCAGCGCGCTCATCTTCGCTCAAGCCACTCCCGTTGTCATTGTCGCTGTTTCCATTGGCTTCGGGATCGTAGTCTAAGGCCATTCATTTAGTATTCAATGGTACGGCAAAAGAATAAATCTCATTTCTCAATACCTTTGACCAATTCCTCATCCGGGTCTTGGAAATCCTTTGCGCGTCCTTTTGCTTTGGCCATTTTGATTGTTGGTTTGGCTGGCTTGAAAACGAGTGTTGACACCCCACGCTGGGAATTTTTCTGCTATCAATGGGCGTCTTGCAGGTCCTAAACTTTTAGGCGGTGGGTGGCGGCAGAATATTAGCTTGTACCGCCTTAGAAACCAAACCCGAAAAAGCACCAGCGTTGCTGATAAGTGGGCCATCTGCTTGTATGGAGTACAAAGTAATAGTGCTGGATTAGTAGCCTCACATCACTCTTATGAATCAACATCTTGCTCACATTGGTCGGGGAGTGTGGACAGGCCGTCAACAAAGTGTTGTAGCCATACAATGACTTTCGCCAATTGAGACTTGTTACACTTCTCCCCTTACGTTTTCATGAGTCATTCTCAAGTTTCCTCAGTAAATATCGACCATGCGCTCTTCGCCCTCGCTGCTCTTTCGAGCTGTAAGAGCTCTCCAACATGAAAATCCTTTGGTCAGTTAGTCTGTATTGTTCATCAAAGAAAAGAAAAATCCCCTAGTTAACGAAATATCAGGGTCTTCCCCGATCGGGCACTCCGCCAAGCTGGCCAAAACGGCCTCAGAAGCGGAAGATTGCTGGTGTAGACAAGGTCATTGCGGTGTCATCCGCTAAGGGTGGCGTTGGCAAAAGCACCGTTGCTGGTATGTGGCGAAATTGCAATATGTAGGTATATTATATGGTAGGCTCATGAGTGAGATAGCAAACCTATCACTGGCTTTTGCTAGACTAGGATATCGCGCCGGAATACTAGACACAGATATTTTCGGCCCATCCATTCCTACCTTGTTCGATCTATCAGGGGAGCCCAGGTTATCCAACAGTAAGAAGACCATCATTGCCTGCATACCCTTTTTACTGACACATTCCAAGACAATCAACTAGTACCCTTGACAAATTATGGCGTCAAGACAATGTCGATGGGCTATCTGGTGGGAGAGAGTGCCCCCGTGGTATGGAGAGGGCCAATGGTTATGAAGGCGATTCAGCAGCTTCTTCACGAAGTGGACTGGGGTGGTTTGGATATCCTTGTTTTGGATCTGCCTCCCGGAACAGGAGACACGCAGTTGACCATTACTCAGCAAATCATCTTGGATGGTAAGCAGCTATTTCTTGAACACATTGAGCACTGTTGCTCTTTTCGTCTCAGATACTGATTAGCACAGGATCCGTCATCATCACTACACCACATACTCTGGCAACAAAGGATGCAGTCAAGGGCATAAACATGTTTAAAACAGTTGGCGTCAATATCCTCGGCGTGGTCCAAAACATGTCTCTGTTTAATTGCCCACACTGCCATCAGGACACTCATGTTTTTGGATCAAACAAAAAGGTTGAGAAGCTGTGTCAAGAGCATGGGATTGACTTTCTAAGAGATATTCCTCTTCATCCCAACATTGGCGATGACGGGGAAAGGGGGAAGCCCACTGTCGTCTCTGAACCATCCAGCGAACGAGCATCGGCCTTCCTTGATATAGCTAGAGCTATTTGCCCCAAGATTGACCTGAAGGAGGTCGGGAGCCATAATCACTAACTTTCTTTCTCGACACGGTAACAAATCTAGACGGCATATTCGGGGATTTCCACATCGTCTGATGAAATGTGGTCGTTGAACCTGCCATCGTAACTTAGCAATCCATTGCTGATCCCAAAAGGGGGGCCTGTTCTTGGATGAAACATGTGGTGGTTTGCCAAAGCTGTCAGAATGCAATCAATATTCCCATAACCTAATGCTTCTCGTGAACCGCGATGTCAACGTTCTGGTGTAAAAAAAGCGAAATGCTCAACGGTTAGCCTCTGCCACAACATATTGCAAGGCAAATTACCGCAGTATCAACAATAATTTCCTAACTCCATAACGCCTCTGAGACCTCTTTGAGATCTTCCTCATCGGCCCAAATCCCCCTACACTGGCTCTTCTCGGCAAAGCATTTAATCGAGCTCTTCATTAACCTGGTAGACATGACGACTACGGGTAGGGTCCTTTCTCATTGCTTTGCCAGAGCCAGTGAAGCCAACTAGTAGAGAGCAATTAGCGAGATTTCATATGAAGAGGTCGAATTTAGAGACTTACCTCGTCCGTGGATTCCCTCGGGTGTGCGAAACATGGAGTCCTTCTTGTTAGATTTGCCAAACTTTGATTTGGCATTGAAATCTTGCCATTTTGACTTGCCAGCTTCTAATTCCTTTGTGGCTTTGATCTTCTTGGGCTTGGGTGCCTTGGCAGCATCCTTTTCTGCTTCAGACTCCTTCTGCGCCTCTGGATACATGGTAGCCCCAGCCGAGCTGACGACGCCAGGAGCCGGCGTTGTAGCCACTGGGGCAGCAGATGTCGAAGGGGGAGCATCGGCCTTCCGCTTGTTAGAAATTGGGCGAATATCTCTCGACCTGAGAGTGTCCGTAGTGTCGTAGGTCTTGAACTTGACAATGTAGATGGGATCGGTGGATGATCCAGTGATGGACGTGATGCGCGCTGGGTAGAAGGCCTTGTCGCCTGAAATCCACTTTGCCAGAACGGTATCATTTACTTGGTAGTTGACAGGGGCTTCTTCCTTTTCCTCGACCGGTGGTGCCGCCTTCTTGAAGGCTGGGTGGTTCTCTTTGGACCACTTGGCTGGCTCAGGAGGTGGCGCGGCTGGTTTTACTTCGGGTTTAGGAGCCTGCTTCGATTTCAACTCGGCGATATTTTCGTCGAGAAGATCAACGAATTCCTTCAGCTCGTTATGGAGAGCCTTGAGCTCAACATTGTCGGGATCATCGCGGATCTGGCCAAGAACAAGGTCCAGCTAGATTTGGGTTAGCAGCGGGCCTTGAAAACCATCAACAAAGAGGCACAGAGGCTTCGTTCATACTTGTTCCTGGTACGTCTGTCGCTCTGCTTGGATCTCTGCGATGGAAGACATTGTTGAGTTCTTTGCCTAGGCGTTGCACTAAGATTTGTAGCCGGATAGGAGGATGTTTGCATCGGGTGTCGCGACACCTTTGGAAGTTCAAAAAGTTGGCTAACGCTCAAACTCCGGCTGCGTGATGGCCATTCTACCTGCAACAGATTTGTGGGGCCGACCTTATCAGAGATTATGACGACTCGCAATAGTCACGTGATGCTTCATGATCGCGGCTATTGGGCTTGGAAGATCCAGATCCACGATTCTCATCGCACTGCGTTGGCTTTTCTGGGCAAGTTGATGCTGGAACAATCTCAATTCATCAAACCGATGGCTCTAGCGTAGTAGCAACGCACTCAATCTTCAAATGCATCTTGGCTTTGCCGTGATCGAGCAGCAATGGTTTTTGTGGCTTACAATTCCACCACTCCGGGATCGGGGCTGGAATCAAGAATACGCGTATTGGCACGATTCAACTTGATAGGCCTTTGTTCTCCAGTTCTCGTACTCCGTACCATCACCAAATACATCAAGCAGCAGCGTCTCCCTGCGCTAGCAGAAAGGGGAGCATGACAATGAAACGTTTCAGACAGCCCAACGTCATCGCTACGTGGTGAACAGGGTTATGCGGGGAGAATAGCCGATGTGTTTATGGCATGGGAGCCAGGTTTGAGCATCTCGAGGATATTGGGCAACGACGCGGACAGCTTGGGCAATTCTAGGCAGCAGCTACATCGTATCTGGCCGAGAATCGATCCCTCGCCTCGAACAGGGCTTCCAGTTGCCATGGGGGTACGAGTGTATAAGGTACAGTAAAGTCGGATCTCTGTGTCTGTCACAGGGGTGCGTGTCCTCACTTGTTTGTAATGGCCCAAGCGCAAACTATGGATTAGCAAGCCTCGTTCATTTCGACGTCTGAAGTGATGTGCAAGAGCTCCTTCACCGGTGCGCCACAATCGAGAAGACTGAACCATTCAATGGAGCTGGATTCGCCATTCCCGGGGGAGCGAGATTAGATAGTCGTACTTGTACGCTGCACTACCTGATGCGGCCCAAGCGCAGCGTGGAAGAGTACTAAGACAAGCTGTTCTAGGGTCCCCCATGAAACCTGGACCTGTACATGTACAGCTTTCCTTTTTTTAGCGCCAAAGGAAACCTGTACATGTATAGCTTTCCTTTAGCGCTAAAAGCTATACATATAAATCGGTTAAATTACGGGTTTATACAGTACGTGTACTTTAAAATTCGCACTGTATTTTATAGCGCCGGGAGCAATCTAGTCCGGAACGACCGCAGGGAGTGAAGATGTTGCTGGATTGTCGACCAGAGCGGTCATCAATGGGAATCCTTATCTGCATCGGTAAATTTTGGAAGAAAAATACACTGTATAAGTAGTGTAAAAAGGAAAGCTGTACATGTATAGGTTTCCTTTGGCGCTAAAAAAAGGAAAGCTGTACATGTACAGGTCCAGGTTTCATGGGTGACCCTAGAACAGCTTAACTGTACACTCAGCGTGGAACGCCAAGGAAGCACAGAGGAATCCGGGATGGAGCAGAGACAACAAGTATGACGCAAGTTATGCTGATGAATAAGGTGGTGAATTAGAGCTAAGACATTGTCTCTTTGGCGGACATTCCAGTGTCCGGACCCAGAAAAAAAAGAGAGAGAAGAAGCTGGGAACGGAGAGAAAAAGGAGAGAGAGTCTGAGTATGTAGGTTTTAGTCCCAAGTTTGTTTGCATTATCCATTATACCGAGAGATACCTTGGGGAGTTGAGTTCCTAGACTGTCCGTAACAAGCACAGCACAGCACAGTACAGTACAACACGGCAATCGGCGACAGAAAACTTGCCTTTCGTATTTGAAGCGGATGCATCTGGCGGGCCACAAGCAAACAGAAAAAGCAAGCGGCCACCGACTCAACAGCCAGAGCCTCAACCACTGCGCAGCCTCGGCCACCCTCCATCTCTTTTGTTCTCGTCGTCGCTCAAAGACAAAGAGACCCGGTCCAGCGGTCTGTCTCGGTCTCGGGAACGGCGACTATTCCTGTATTAGGGCATGACAACTGCACTTTGTTCAACCCTCCTCCACCTGCCGCGAGCAGCAAACGCATCGCACTTTTTTTTTCTCCTTATCCTGTCCTTTTCTTTAAACTTTTCCTTTTCCATCGGCCTCTAATACCCACCGTCTTTCCATCTCTCTTTTCCATCTTCCATCTTCCATCTTCCATCACATCCCCCTTCCGGTCCGCCATCCTCAATCCGCGCCAATTCGTGTTTCTGTTCTATTCCCTGCATCCCGATCATACTGTACAGTACGAGGTGGTTGCTGTTACAAGCTACAAGGCGCTGCCGTCAATTGACCCCCCCTGGACGCTTCGGAAAGCCGCCTGTCGCATCGCGTCGCTTTGAGCCGACATCAACCACCCTTTATAGCCATTCACACGTGTCTCACCCTCCACCAGGATCCCGTCCGGCCCAGGGCACTTGCAAAGGCCGTCGAAAAGCATCGTGTCGATACGCCGCACCGCCGCGCATTGCGGGCAATCGCCACGAGACGAGGCTCGTCTGCGGCAGCCTCACGACAGCCAGCAAATCCGGCCCAGCGCGGCCCAGACAGTGATAGTGACAGTGACAGTGACAGGACAGAGGCAAAGCCGCAAGCATGGCTTCCGAGAGTGACCAAGACAGCGCATCTGCATCTGCAGCTGCATCGGCCGGCCAATCAAAGCGCCCTCCCCTCAACCATCACGCCAGTGACCACAGCGACGCCAACACAGTCGCCTCTTCGGGACATGCGCCTCGCCCCAAGCACCAGAAGCAGCACCACGTCGGCCGCCTGCACGGACGAGTGCCGTCTACCAGCAAGGGCCTGCACAAGCACAACCACAGCTCGTCGCGAGTCAATCTGAGGAAGCAGGGCTCGCCCACCGACCTCGAGAGCCAATTCGCCCAGCGCCCAGTGCCGCACCGCCGCGCCACCAGCGACGTCAAATTGCCTCAGCAGGAGCCGGCGGCTGCCACCATCCCCAAGAGCCTCTCGCAGAGCAACCTGAAGCGCAACCGGTCGCATGTCGAGATCAGCAAGCGCACCAAGTCTGCCGACAAGCTGAAACGCAGCTCCAGCGGAACCGGCATTCACAACAAGCCCGCCAAGTCGCAGGTCCATTTCGATCTCGGCTCAGACGACCCGGAAGACGAATGGGTCGACGCCAGCGGCTCTAATTCTCCCTATTTGTCGCGAAAGGGCTCGCTCAACAGCAGCACGCATTCTTCCTACCCCCCAGGCAGTAGTACGGCAAATTCTCGCCCGCAGACGCCGAGCGCGTTGGCCGCGCCACCTGAATCATCGTCACCACCTGCTCGCAAGGAACCAGAGCGAAAGGACTTTCCCACGACGCGACTGCTGCAGAGAACTTTACACGGCGCCCCGCCTCAAATGTCCACCGACATGGCCAAGGCGACTCCCGTGCACCTGTCGCCCGACTCGACCAGCCACGAGCCCTCTCCGCCCACAGAGAGCCAGGAGGATGGCCTTGTTTCGCGTTTCGTCGAGGTCCCCAGCTCCGGCCTCACCAGCGAGGGCTCGTTCTACAACCCTATCCGTGGAGGAGGCTCCCACCGATCCGAGGACCTCCCGCTACGAGTACATTCAATGGCCAACTTATCGAGATCACACGATTTCCCCAGTGAAACCACTCTTGCCATGGAGAGTGAAAACAGCACCCTGGTGCCCAAGCCCGCCAGGAGAACAGCTGCACCCTCAGCGAATACCTCGCGCACGCAGCAGAAACTGAACCTTCAGCGAGCTAGCTCATCACTTGAGCCCGGCCAAGCAGTCCCGGGCGTTGGCGGGGTTGTAGGAGCCGGGCCTCTAATTGGCATCGGAGATCCAGGACACGATGGAGGCAACAGTCGGGATCCTCGCGTTGGCAAGCTCCTAGAGCGTACAGGCATGGAATACCTGGTTGTCCGACGGCATCAGAACCCAGTCGTGCGATCGTTGAATCGCCTAACCCAATTGCCGGGTTTAGACAAGAACAAGAGGATTCCTCGCTCCAATACCGGCTCTACTACAGCTAGCAAACGATCGACAGATCTCACCGCTCGTCACATTCGAAACATAAGCATGCCAGAAGGACGCCAGGCTCTTCCCGTCAAGCGCGCAGGATCGGTGAAAATCAACGGCGCGACAGGCTCTAGCTACGAGGGAGACGACATGAACCGACTGAGCGAGAGACTTAGCGGCTCTAGCCTCGTCGGAGGTGAGGAGGAGGATGGTATGACTGCGCTCCTTCGGAACCTTTGGGAGAAGCCAATGGATCTCAGCGCCAGCACAGATTGAAACAATGCGAACACCAATCAAGTCAAGGACAAGTAGGGGGTGTCAGCAAGTATATACGGTAAACACGACACTGTGATGCCAAAAGAGTTTGAACGCTAAACACAACTGTCTCATGATACAAGGCTCTTTTTCATGGCGACGATGACTTTTTTTCTTCTTTTTTTTATCGATTTTATTCTTCTTTTTCGAGCCAATCAACTCGGAAACAACACTTTCGGCTGCGTGCTGGGCGTTTGTAGGAAATAGTGTAGAAACACCAGCTTGGTTCGTGGCAATATCCTCTGCTTTTTTTTTCCATAGGGGTTATGTTCATAGGTGCCACGGATGTGTTTTGTAAAGCGTGGTTAAAGCAATACGGAGAATCATGATTCGACCTTTAATGAAGTACAGTCTAGGGATACACCAATACACACAGGTTTTAATAGCTCATTCAGTCTCTTCCTGTATATAAAATTCAACACAACAGCGATATTCCGCGTTCTTGACCTCCTTGTTGACTAAGTGTATCTTTTACGTTTACATAATTTACAAACCTCGTATGCACATCAACCATTGAAATCTATTTACTATACACTAACGCCTATTCCATTCATGATAATATACAAGCCCAAAGGCACAGTCATTAATTTTTTTGAGATGGGAATTACAAACCACTTGCATAAAGGAAGCAATGCAGAAAGAAAAGCTCACTTAGCCCCAAGGCTTAACGGCGTTGTGGCGAAAAAACGGCTGCGGGTTCTGCTCTCGCTGGTCACCGCCAATAGCCTTCCACCACACATCTGTGCTCCATCGGATGATGCGCTCGGCGCTTCCCAGAGGCGTGGCCGCAGGGCGGACATCCAGGTAGAAGACGGGCTCACCAGTGGGCTCCGGCTCTCCGGAGTAGTAGTCGATGACGTATCGGATCTCCTTCTTTTCGCCGTTGACATTTCGGGAGACGAACCAGTCATGGCGATCGAATGGAAGGTCAGTTCTAAGTCTCTTGTTAGCTTTTCGTTCTTTCATTCTGTATACGAATGGTCAACGCCTCATCTTACCCAAACTTGGAAGGGTAGATCCAGCCCAGGACCTGCAGCATCGTAGCCTTGGGAGTCAGGTCCTTGGGTCGTCCTTGGAAGCGGATGAGGGTAGGGCTGACATCCACTCCATCCCACTGGCGATCCAGCTCTTCTGCCGAGTGCGCCTCTCCTCGCTTACAGACCTGCCATCCTCTGTATAAGCCGCGCGCAAAGCGCTCCTCCCAGCCGATAATCTCCTGCCATGCGCCCTCGTTCAAGAAGTTGTGGACAGAGACCATGGATTCCACGGCTGTGACGTCGGTGTCGGTGTAGCCCTTGCGCAACAAGGCATTGTACATTTGCTGGGGAGAAGGGTACTCCCACGTGCCGTCGCCGGATCCCTTGGGGATGGTGGATTCTTCACGCTCCGTCGGCAGCGCCATCGTCTGCGTCGGCGCAGGCTTCTGTGACAAATCGGGGAACATGTAGTTCAAGGGGTTGAGTTGAGAGAGGATCGAATTGGGCTCTTCCTGGTCGCGGGAGCCGTGAGGCACCGGACAGCCAGATGGCGGCAGAGGTGATGACGAGCCATGAGGGACTGGGCAGCCGGACGTGGAGGACGGTTTCTCGGCGGGTATAGCTTTGTGCGGGTTGAAGGCATCGGCGGCCTTTTGGTGCATGGGACATCCGGGCTGTTATTTGTGAGTCTCTACCGTCTGTTAGGTCCGAGTCTCTCGGGTTGATCATACCGGAGGCTCCTTGTTCAATGACACGGCCGGGTGTCCTTGAGGGATGCCGGCCGGAGGGGCAGGCTCGGCCCAGAACCAGCCCATTGTGAGATGCAGAGATTATACAAGTAATCAAGGTATGCGAAGAGGACAAAATGCGAGTTGTAGGTTACAGACAGCAGCAGAAGATTGCTGAGGCAATCAAAGATGCAAAGGTTGTTGAGGGGGATGTCGGTTCTAAGCCTTGGAAATTTCCAAGCCAACAGCATAATCTTATCGCATCATTCTTACGGCCAAACCCGAAACTTTTTTTTTCTCGCACATGTTTAGCCGGGCAATCGCCGTGACCACTCCACTACGTCACCGATTGATTCCGGCACGGGATTCTGCAGCGAAGCTTGTGATTCTAACCCGGGTCGTATTAACTCGGGCGATGCTCTATTTTCCTCGTGTTTCTCCTTTAAACCTCAGAAACTCTTCATGAGGCATCGATTATGATTACGGCCCTCATCGGCCTGGAATTGAGTGCGCGTGATTGTCCGCCGACATGAAGACCGGCCTTCTCTTAGGCCGGCTGTGTGGGCGCACTTTATTTCGACCTCATTTGCTGCGTCAGACAGGACTGGGACTCCGGAGAACTGATGGGCTGCATAATTGGATTCACACGGCTAGGAGGACAGGATGGAAAGAAGGCAGGACAAGAGGCAGGATTGCATTGCGTGCTTCGGCCGGTGCAGCAGCGTTAGGCACGGGAGCTTTCATTCAGCTGGCTCAGACGGACAATGGGGGAACCGAGCAGACGGGCGAGCTTCGCATGTTGGAAGCATCGCGAGATGAGATTCGCAAGACCATCGACGACAATGACCGGGGGATATCCAGGATCGTGCAGCAGATTCTTCTATTCTGGGATGGCTACATCTGGGAGCCAATCTGCACTGGAACAAGGTTCTTACACCTCGTGGTCATCTTCGTGCCTGTCATCCTTTCAGTGCCCGCCATCTGGTTTGGGCGACGCCATCCTGACAAAGACGGCGAAAGAAGCGGCACCCTCTGGTGGTATGGATTCCTTGTGAAATCCATGGAGCTGGCAGGCCCTGCGTTCATCAAGCTCGGCCAGTGGGCAGCTTCGAGGACCGACATCTTCCCCACGGCCATGTGCGATACAATGTCTAAGTTGCATTCGAACGCGCCGGCCCATTCCATGCGCGTCACTCGGAAGACAGTTGAAGCAGCTTTCAACGGACGTAATTTCGAGGACATCTTTGACGAGTTCCTTGAAACACCTCTAGGGGTTGGCGCCATCGCCCAAGTCTACAAAGCAAAGCTCAAACCTGATTTTGCAGCACCGCAAGAACTGGCAACCGCCCCAATGGAACCACGACTTCTTACACAAAATGTGAAGCAGCATGTGAGAACTGTTTTGAAAAGCTCACCTAAGCAGGTTCCGTCAACGTACGTCGCCGTCAAGGTATTGCACCCCAATGTTGAACGTATCGTGCGAAGGGATCTGAAGATCATGGGCTTCTTCGCCACTTTGCTCAATACGATCCCCACCATCGAGTGGCTGTCTTTACCGGGCGAGGTTTCCCAATTCGGGGAGATGATGAAGCTCCAGCTAGATTTGCGAATAGAAGCCGCCAATCTGGAAACATTCAGAAGGAACTTTGGCGATCGGACGACGGCTTCATTCCCTTTCCCCTATTCCGAGTTCACGACCCGCAACGTTCTCATTGAAGAGTTTGCTCAGGGAATACCTCTAGCGGACTTTATGGAAAACGGAGGTGGCGTCTTCCAGCATGATATTGCTGACGAGGGGCTGGACGCGTTTCTCCGGATGTTGCTTCTGGACAACTTTGTTCATGCCGACTTGCACCCGGGCAATATCATGGTCCGTTTTTATCAGTCCGCACAACCGAATATTCGGCTGCGTCGGTCTGCTGAGAAGGCTCCCAACTCGGACGGCGGCCACCTCGATGTTACGGAGCAGGTGTTGGAACGACTACGGCCATACCGACGCCGCAGTGACAAATCCGCATGGGAAGCCGAGTTGGCCAAGATTGATGCCGAGGGTTATCGTCCACAACTCATCTTTATCGACACAGGTCTGGTGACGGAGTTGAATGCAGTCAATCGGGACAATTTCCTGGCCTTATTCCGTGCCGTCGCCGAGTTTGACGGCTACAAGGCCGGCCATCTCATGTGCGAGCGCTGCCGCCAACCTGAGGCCGTCATCGACAAGGAAGTCTTTGCCCTCAAGATGCAGCATCTCGTCCTGAGCGTCAAGAGCCGCACACTGGCCCTCGGCAACGTCAAAATCGGTGACATCCTACAGGAAGTCCTCTCCATGGTGCGCAACCATCACGTCCGCCTGGAAGGCGACTTTGTCAATGTCGTTATCAGTATTCTCCTTCTGGAGGGCATTGGACGCAGTCTGAATCCCAATGTCGACCTTTTGAGCAGCTCGCTGCCAATTCTGAGACAGCTGAGCGCTCAGAGTGGTGCACAGATGGCGAAGCACGGCGATTTCTCCATGATTATGCTGTGGATGGGCCTGGAGACGAGGAAGTTTTTGCAGGCTAGCGTTGACGATGTGAGTTTGATTACACCCTCCCAACAGTGAGTATTCCCCATGCTAACAAGTATCTTTCTAGGTTGAACGATGTGTCAAATACGATCTCCTATCACCCAATGTATAAATAACGAACGTGCATGCTATAGAGTAGAGGCCAGAGGGTTTTCTTTATCTATACACAGAGCGACAGCGATAGCTCATTGTAAATTATGTACAACACTGCTGAAAGGCATATTAGATGAAGATGTGGGATGGATTATGGGTAACACGAGGCTTTTATAGAAACAATTAGGCGATTCCGACAATTTGATTTGGTGATAATAAATCTCTAATCTCTCTAGATTGTATAATTTTCTTGTTGGTCCCCATCGTATGCATTTTACCAGCATGTTGATGTTTGGTATATATGACACAAGTGTTAATGATTCAATATACTCGTTACACTGTTACACCTGGCTTACCAAAGATGGAAGTGGTTGCCTGTTTTACAATAATCATACAAAACGGGCTCCCAGCCCAATTTGCTATTGTCGTTACTCCATCTTACCATGAACAACAACCACATAGTTTATCAATTATTTTCCAAGATCACGCCGGCTTCAGGGTAGCTGATCTTGCATAGCAATTCTTGAAGCCATTCAGCTGTCAACGGCACGGAACAACCAACGCCGCTACTCCGTGCTTTGGGCTCCTAGACCCGCTAAAATTTCCAAAAGCTCCTTGTCGACTTTGCACTGCCAGGAGATTTTTTTTTTTTTTGACGGGCGCTTAATTGCGTCGCAACACCGTGAATTTGGACTGGTGCGCGCTTGGATAAAATCGCAAAAGCAGTGCATAAGCGACATTCGCCTTGTTGCGGTTTCCAATGGGCGACTCCGGCGACTTCGTCCGTCTTCACGTCACGCCGCTTGATGCCGAGCTGATCAAGGTCGTGGTTCCCACCTCAGTACTGCCGACTGCTCGCAATATTTCCTATCATACGCTTGAGACGTTCCCGGAGAGGCGATACGGATTCGTTGAACTGCTCGAGGCGGATGCGGAGAAATTGAGAAAGAAGCTGAACGGGACGACGCTCAAGGGCTGCAAGATGCGGATTGAAAAAGCCCGCCCCGAGACGCGGGTGGAGCCGAATGGAGACGAAGACGAGGTTCCTGAGAAGAAGAAGAAGAAGCCATCCAAGAAACGGAAGCGGGAGCCAGATGTCTTGGAGGGCGTGGCACTACATGACCGCCAAGTAAAGCGAGGATGGACGGAGACGCCAACGACAACGACAACCAAGAGGAGAGACAGGAAGGACAAGGACAAGGAGAGCAAGGAGAAGAAGAAGGAAAAGGAGAAGATGAAGCGACCCAAGTCTAAATACACAGAGGGAGAGGAGTGTTTGCTGAAGACGAAGCTGCCGCCAAACACGATGAAGAACTTGGCTCCCGAGGAGCTGGAGCACAAGAAGAGGAGCAAGAAGAAGGGCAGTTCACGACAAGTTGTTATTCACGAATTTGAAAAGACGACGAAATTCCCGAGCTTCCTCAAGGCTGCTACGGCGACCGGCCGGAAAACAGCGACTGAATATGTCAAAGGGAAAGGATGGGTCGATGAGGAGGGCAATGTCGTGGAAGAAGTAAAGGAGAAAGAAAAGGCGCAACTACCGCAGCGGCCGAAGAAGGTGCCTCAGCCAAGAAAAGTGTCCGAGGAGCCGGAAGATGATGACAGCACGAGCAGCAGTGGCACTTCATCAGAGGGCACATCGTCTGAAGACAAGTCTGAAGAGGAATCTGAGGCAGAGTCTGAAGAAGAGATTGAGGCGGAAGTTGAAAAACAGGCTGCAGAGGTGCCTGTCCGAGCCCCTACTAAACCTCAGGATGAAGAGGAGAAAGATGACGACAGTGATTCTTCAAGCGACAATACAAGCGACAGCGGCTCGTCAAGTGATGAAGAGGAAGAGGAGCCTTCCAAGGTAGCAGAACAAACAACGCCGACAACCTCCAAGCCGAATGCTCCCAAATCCACTCCCACAAGCAACAAACCCCTGGCCATCAAGATTCCACCTCCCGAGACACCCTCAGCCGGAAAAGTACACCCCCTAGAGGCTCTATATAAGCGACCGAAGCAAAACAACGAGAACCCCACGTCAGTTCCCAAGGAAGAACCGTTCAGTTTCTTCGGTGGCGGCGAAGATGAAGAAGACAACGAGTCCGGAGCCGCACCCTCCCTCCTCGTGCCCCCCATGACGCCCTTTACCAGCCAGGACTTTGAATGGCGCAACGTCAGAAGCGCCGCCCCTACGCCAGACACGGCTCATCCGTCGCGCATGCAGCGCTTCTGGGGAGCTTCGCCGGAGAAAGACGTGGAGATGGAAGATGACGTGGCGAATGCGCTGCGGGAGGAGGAGCAGGAAGACGAAGAGGGAGAGGACGAGGATGACGGAAGCCCTGCGCAGGGGAGACAGACTGCCACGACCGATTTCCAGAAGTGGTTCTGGGAGAATCGGCGAGATTTGAACCGATCGTGGATGACGCGCAGGAAGACGGCGGCCAAGGAGAAGAGACACCGGGAGAATAAGGCACGGGCATCAAAGGCAGTATGAGCGCAAAATTGTTTTTTTCTTCTTCTCAGTCCTGCGGCATGACACGGATATAGTAATGCGTTGAATAGATGTTGTCATTACAGAACAAAAACTGTAATATGAATTGTTGGTCATGATTAATATTACAACGTAGAATATGTTACATAGGGGATAAGCTGCCGCTTGGCTAGGTGTTCACAATTTGGTCATTCATCACTCGATTTTCCATGTCTTCCTCGCAAACATGAGGCCTGTTATCCTCCGAACACGTATCACGGAGCCGTCTTCTGTCTGCTGCTGCCACACTGCCTCCCAAAAGAACATTATGCATCCCGGCTCCATCTTCCACCGATGCAAGAGAAGTGTGTTCCGTCAAGGACCCGTTTCCGAACTAGGGAGCTCCCACATGCACCTGAACATGAGCTGGCGAGTCAAGACGTGCCAAAGTGTCTGAACCCATTGCCCTCTCTGAATCGGGAGTCTCCGGTTCTTCTGTATTCCTGCCAACGAAAAATTTGCCGAGAATATTAGGAAAGAAGTGGTCTGTTGAGGGCGAACCCTTGGAGTCGTACGTCAGTGTACTTCGACGTCGATGCGCCGATGAGCCGATTTGGCTCCCAAAGCTCTTCGTATTGGAGGGAGACTGAGATAGCGTTGTGCGCCTGGATTTTGGAGCTTCATCTGTGAAGTAACTTGAATTATTGCGGGATTGGAAACTATCACCCGGCAAGCACATTGGCTCCGTAGTCTCAGTAAATGAGGTATGAGGTTCGCGAGAAATACGATTAGTGCCATCATCTACCCCTTGATGGGATGGATTGGTAGATTTGTCTTCCAGACTAACCAGAGGCTTGATCCATTCTCTGGTACAATGTCGCGAAAGAAGTTTCGGAAACGAGGTGATGGTTGACGCAACGCTGGTAGAACCAATGGAGGCCTGAGATGCTTCCAATTTCTCGTCTTTGTGGGTACGGCAGGATGAAGGTCGACCGGTTTGCGAATTCCTCTCAGAGTCCTCATCTAAGGAGCTCCCGGCTGAATCTGGGGACAGGGTCGATTCTCCTGCATGGCCGCCATGCTTCGTCCAAGTGATTGAAGTCACGTTTGGCGAGGAGATCAATGTTGTCGATGTCGATGACGCTTCTTGCTGCCACTTCTCTCTGGCTCTATCGACCTTGTGGGTGACATCTGCGGCAGTAATCGACGTCTGCGGTATGCTCAAAGTATTTGCTGGATCTGAGACCACAGGCGGCCGCAGCTTTGTACGTTGGTTCTCGTGCTCCATCTCAAACTGAACCGGCAGTTTGCTTTGAGGAGAGATGTCTGCCTCGCCTGTCTCGGGTGTAGTGTCATATAGTATAGGTCTTCTAAACGCCATTAGTGTCTCCTCGATGATCTTCGCGAGTTCCCCATTCTCTTCAGGCAATGCTTGGTGCTTTTCCGCAGAGCCGCCGATCATTCGAGGGCTATTTCGTTTTAGTCTAGTCGTGTTTATCTGACGAAAAATCATCTCCGTGACGAGAGGAATATCTTGACGCTCCACAATGATGGCCGACTCATCGTGGTGCTGTGTCTCGAAGTCTCCTTCCGAGTCAAATCTTTCGAAACGGTTCGCCCTTTTACCGGGCTCTGCTTCTGTGATATGGTTGGCTTTCTCTATGGATGAATTTGATGTGGTAGACCAACCATTCTGGCCGTTAGGATTCCAGGGTGCAGGCCGGCCTCCGGCAACCGCAGTCACGTCGTCCCGAGTTGCGGTTTCAATGAGGTATCCTATGCGATTTTGCCCGATATCAACAAGATGAGTCGAAACTCTCTCGACTTCATATTCATGCGTATCGGAATTGCTTTTCCCCTTGGTAAAATACCAAGCCGAGCCGGGGACTATGGGATTAATGACATAGTAAGACTTTGGGCCCTCTTCTGGGTGACCGCCCTGGAGGGCTTTCTTCGGCTTCTCTGCGATGGCCACATCAAAATCGACGACCGGGGAAGCAATTTGACTCGTCGCTCTGCGGCCGGATAATTTTGACTTTTGGTGAGAAGATAAGAGGTGGCTAACCTCTTCAAAAGACGATGCTCGCTTTTCGCTGGAGCCATTACCAGCCAGCCTGGAGATTTGGGCAACACTGGGGTAGCCCGTGGGCTTAGAGGCAAGCTCTGGATTGGAATTATGTCTTTCCATTGTAGACGGTGTACCTGCCTCTAACCCGCCAACCGCTGGCTGTAAGGGTATTGAGGAGGAGTGCAGCAAGGCTCTCGTAACGCGGGCCAAAATATCAATCTCGCAGGGTTGATCTTTCAGAGTCGTTTTATCCCGCCTCAATGGCTCAGCCATAGCCTCACTGTCGCATGAGCCCTAATTACGATCGTGAGATTGTGCAGGGCTGGGGTAGTCGAGATAGGCTGCGATTGGAGAGGAGCCCAGCTCGTGACGCCCCGTCTCAGCGGGATCAGGGAATGATTGGCGCATGACGTCTTCAATCGCGGACGCCATCGTTGGTAGGCGATGCTTGTTAGAACGACAAAGTCGGTTGAGCCGATCTGTGGGTGTCGAGGGATGACCCGCCCCCGTTCCAGCGAATAAGCGTAGTGGGGAGCTGTGCACTGATGAGGCTCTTTGTGTGGGAGATGATGCACTTGTTGATCACTTCCAAGTCTATGGAGTTGGGGAGAGGAGGTCGGTGCGCAACCATGTTTGAGTCATAGCCAATCAAACAAAGAGGTGGACTAGAAGAAGGGAAAGTCAATGAGCAATGGGGATGAAATGGAATTAGAACATATCGATGAACTGTAGGTAATCCGCGTATCGTATCGTACAGTAGCTGCATATAGGAGGTGGGACATTGAAGATGACGATGAGACTCTATTTTGGTGGCCCACATGATGGATATAAAGTGGTGATCGCGCCAAGGGGATCTTAGAAGGAGCTTGCTGAGCAGTTGCCCGCTGACCCAACAGCAGTCGTTAGTGAGGGCACTTGCCGCCGATCGCTGCCGGAGCTTTTAGTCCTGACCTGAAACATTGACGATGGTTTGAATCATTGCTTAAGTCATAAGAGAGGAGCTGATCTGATGCATCAGAGAGAGCCTCGCTGATACTGACAATGACAACGACAATGACTTCATGCTGCGCATGCGTGACATGCCGGGAATGCGTAGGTAAGCCAGCATTATCCAGTCATGATATCAATTCGAGGGCAAATTATCTCATATCATATTCAGGGGCGAACGAGTCCGAGTGCGATAAACAGGAAAATGGAAATGTCTGCAAACGTTTTTTTTTTGTTTCTGGTTACCCGAGACAAGCGCCAGACGGAATGAATCCTTGCTCCCGAGACAAAAACTACCTGCAGCACATACGCGCATACAGACATGCGTTATGCATGCAGGCCGCAAGGGATTGTGCTGCAATGCTGCTACTGTATGACTCGTGCCAATGGCGCTGAATTCACTCTGATACGAATCAGGATGGCGCTCATGCATGCACGTTCTAACAGTGTTCTAGTGTTCGTTATACTGCAGTCAGTCTGCAACAATACCTGGCCTGAGATCAGATACGATTGTACGACCGTCAACTAAACGATTCTCACAGTCTTCTCTTCACACCTGTCAAAATATTGCCTGCCACCCTTCTCATCCGTCGGTGAGTGAAACAGCCCAACACGCCAGTACTCGTCCTCCTTCTTCCCTGTAGGGTACAATAGGAGGCCGTGCATGACTTCCAACGGCGGATCTCCCTCCTTGTCTTCCCATTCATTCGGTCTTCTGGAAAAGGCTCCCGGCGATTCCGTATGGCCGCTGGAAACGAAGAACATGACAAGTTTCTGGATGTACTCCCCGCTCGCCTCAGAGAGCTGCTTCCCCTCTTCGCTTGTCTCTCTCCAGTCGAGGGCACACTGCGCTACGTACTGCTCATCTTCTATAGCCAACCACTCGCATTGTTCGTCATGAAAGGGCGATTCGAGGGGCAACTTTTGGAGTTTCCCGCTAGGGATGCCACAGGCCTTCCCGCGGAGTAAAAGGCGTCCGCGAGACACTCGTCCATATATGTCCCCTCCATGAGGCTTCGTCTTGGCCTCAAGGATGCTACACTCGAGGTTCATATAATTAGTGTTGTCCCAGAGTAATCTACTCCGAGCCCTCGCCCAAGACCAAGACGGCGCGATGTATTGAGGCGGGTGCTTGAGGAACCACTTGAGCCGACGAAAGGTCCAGCGCGAACGCCGGTGTATCTTCCAAAGGAGACCCCGCTGAAGATTCTCTTTCCATAAGCCGGCCAAGTATACATCTCCGCTCTTATTGGCGATGAGCTTCGCGTACGATGACACTGCCGCCAGTCTGTCGGTCTCATACGTGAACTTCTTGTTACTGTATTCAAGCATTGGCTCGTACCAGCCCTGGTAGTCGCGGTCGCCCCTCCATGGTGTAGATGAATGAATGATGGACGACTCAGCCTTATCCATGCGGTCTAGCTCGTTATCGACGATTCTATCCTCTGTCCTGATAATGTCAACCGGCTTGAGAGAGTCCCAATGCATCATGAGATGGCCGATATACAGCTTCCTCATCGCAAACATGTCTTCTTGAAACGTCCAGCCACGTGTGCGCCATGCCGAGCCATTAATCTCAAGAGAGAGAGGCGCCGATAAGTAGTTGAGGTCACTACGTAACGCATACTCGGCGTTTTGGTAAGGGAAGGGCATATGGCGAAGAAAGAATGAGCCGCTGAGATTCCACTCTGCGGAGTGGTAGGGGATCTTGATACTTGGGTTTCGCTCAAGGAAACCGTCGTCACTTGACGTTGTACGGAGCGGTATGAGTGTGACAAGGGAATTTCGAAAAATCTCTGCCATGACTTGAGATTCCTTCTCCCAGTCTCCCACGTCATCTTGGACGATACAGAGCGCGTCAATCCAGATGTACTTGACGCCCAACGCTCTCGCAATGCGGACGGTGTCTTGATATGTTTTTGACATGGCGTCGTAGGAGATGGATGTTTTCAAATGAGAATAGTTGCTTCTTGTGGTTGTGAGAGAGGGAGCCTTCCCTCCCCAACAGTAGCTCAGAGCCAGATACGGCTGTGGTTCCTCAGCCATGTCGGCATGCGTATTGCTTTCCACAAGGTGAATCAGACTTGACTCTCTTTTACCGCCAACATGAATCAGCCTTGTAGGGCGATAAAGTGCCTTAAGCGCAGATTTCTCCTTGTTGCTGCCAAACACCCATTGTTTCAAGGTGAGAATGCCGGCGGGTGATAGTATACTATCTGGTACAAAGTCTGAATAGAGTCCGAAGGGGGAAGCACATGGATCTAGAGAACGCCATCATGTTAGAAGACTATTTCTACCTGCAAGGCTGTTTTAATCATACTACATGCCTCTCGGGTTACCACTGACCCTGAATGTAGAATAGCCCCATCTGTGCTTGGGCGTAACAAAGGCAGTGCTGTGTACAGTAAATGCTGTTAGACCGTCATTCCAATAATGCCGGATCCTTGTAATCTCGACTGTATCGTCCGGAAGACGCGCCAATGGGTATTTCCGAAAGTGCCAGATCATGGCATTCCGAAGCAAGGCACAGAATCCGCAACCAGAGTTTGCAGACTCGGCCAGACTGGGAAGCAGCGGAACTACATCTTTTCGACGATATTCGAGATCTTCTTCGAAACCAGGGACGTCCGCCTTCAGTTCCAACGGTTTCCCCCAATCGACCTTAGTCATGGCCAGATGTAAATCCTTGAAATGCAACACGCTGCAGTGCTGGCATAGCACCTGAGCATCGCCCAGGGTAGATTCTATCACGGTAGAGAAGTCGTAGAAGAAATCGTCTTCATCGGGAGATTTCTTTTCATCAGACGGCTTTGCGGAGTCCCGAGGTTTTTGAAACTGCTCATGCTCTCCTACTCCGAGAAAAGTGGCATATCCCGCCATAGCTGTAGAGCAGTTTTTTCAATCAGGAAAAGAAATAGTAATGCCATGGAAGGTAGGAACATTTAATGCAAAAACGCCGTCGACGGACTTTTGATTCACCTTTATAAGAGCTACTGGGGGGTTTAGCTCCGCTGTTGCTGCCTAGTGATGACAGGTAACAATGCACTCATGAACGGAGTATTTGTCTGGATGTCATAATCGCCGTAGCTCGATATTTGATATCTTACTACGATTTATATCATAATGCATGCATGGTTTTCACTACAGTGGCCCTACTACGAGACTTTTAGGGATAAAATTCATACCCACGGTTGCAACGGTTCATCGTGATATAATTATGGCAACTCTGTCTCATTAACTGGATATATACTCATGCAATGCGGCAGAAGACAGGGCCAATAAGTGCCAGCCATCACAGTCTCTACGCTAATCAAACACAACCTTTTGGCCAGTAAATGCAACACTCTTCTGGGCCTCCTTTGCCTTCTTCCGCGCCTCCCAACTAGGATGCAGCGGTCCTTCGTTGTCCTTCTTCGTCGGCTTTGGCGGTGGTTTATTGTGTTCTTGAACGTTACCACCTCGGCCCTGTGAATGGCCTCTGGAATCACCCCCTGCTGGTCGGCCAACTCTCTTCCACGGCTTGCTACGGTCCTCTGGGCCTACAGCACCACGCTTCATGTCCCAACCAGCGTCTCTGCCGCCCTTGGTGACTGCCTTTTGAAGATGCTTTGCGTTGGCTCCATACTTCTTCTCCCAGATGGCCTGACGGGCTCGCTGACCGCGACGTTTCTTGGGCGGGGCCTCGATATCGGACGCTGACTCGGATCCAGAAATGTAGCCTCCCATGAGGGTGGGAAGAAAGGTGGAATCTCCCGATCGAGCTGTTTTCGCCGCAGCCTTGGCAGCCTGCTTCTTCCTCTCCTCCTTCTTCTCCTTGATAGTCTTTGTAGCCTTTTCGACTGCCGGTTTCTGACTGCCATCGTTGTCGGCTGATTTCTTTGACTTTTTGGTAGGTACTGGCGATGGTGACCGTGAACCAGTTATGGATTCAAGTTCTTCGTCTTCTTCGTCATCACCCTCGTCCTCGGACCCTGATCCAGATATCGAAATGTCGTCCAGGTTGGCCTTTTCCGTGCCTCGGTATTTCGCCAGTAACTCCTCGTCAAATTCATCTTCATCCTCTTCAGATGATCCACCTAGTAGATCAGCATACTTTGATAATGTATTCTCCTGATCAGATCCGTCAAGCTCTTCAATTGATGGCCGAGGCTCATCAGCATCCGAACTAAAGCCTTCGAATTCAGATTCATCGGTAGCTTCCTCATCCACGGCCTCTCGCTGCTTTGAGGACTTGGCCAAAGGTTGCATCACACCCTCGTCGCCATCCTCTTCGTCGCCATCCTCATCATCTTCTTCCCTATCCGCGGGCTGTTCCTCTGTATCTTTTCTCTTGTTCCTAACACGCTTCGACTTCGTTGGAACAGCAACGCCAAGGGTTTCGCAAATGTCGACAATTGCACGATCCAAGGCCTGTCGCGCGGGACCTGCGTTGCAAAGTATGCTTATGACATTATTCCGGATGGAGACTTCTTCTGGTGAAAGAGCAGGCCGCGGTACTTCGGCGCGGAGCTCCTCTGGGATATCCTTGGACGTTTCGATGGCCTTGATTCGGAGAAGATTTGCGTGCAGGTGGTGTCGCGCCGTCTGTCGCAGATCAAGAGCCTTTAGAACATAAAGTCAGTGGATAGTTCCCTTCACAATGCACAAAAACGCAATGGATTTCGTAGAGTGACACACTTTCAACACTGCATATTCGCGTTCTAGCCTCGTCTTCTTCGCGACTGTGATTCCGGGCTCGTGGAGCTTGTTGCTGAAGCGCTTCCGCTCATGAACCTTTGCAGAGCTCAGCGCTCTGAAAATATCGATTCGGTATTTCTCTAATTTGTTCTGTACGGTGTCTGCGACGGTGCGCTTTCGCTTTGGCATGTTGGCAATATTTTTTTTCTTTGCTCTGGGCGGTTTGAAGCTAAGATAAGATCTTTGATCGAAATTGTTCGAAAAATCTCTAAGATCCTGGTCGAGCTACTGCTAGTGGGGGCGTGTGTATTTGCGAAAGGTGCACTGTGTTAAGCCTAGAGATTGGCGGCCATTGCGGTTGGATATCGGCACTCTGGCACAGTGTGGCATTTCTTGGGACCTGCAGACTGGATATGGATTCCAGCAATCTACCTTTCCGTGGTGGGGAATGAAGCCAACTTACACTACGGATTACCAAGCCGTGGTGAGGGGTCAAATAATAGGGAAATCTTGAAGACGAACAACGCCTATTAAACTAGGACACGAGCTTATAGAGGTAATTGAGTGATAAGGATCCTGTTCGTTCACCATGGCAACTCAGAATGTTGACGAGGCTGTTGTGGCCGGCAACCTCTTCAACGTTGATGGCCTTGTGGCTTTCATCACAGGCGGTGGCACTGGTGAGTATATGATATAGTTGATTCTTCAATGGAATCAAAGCATTTCCCCATGTCAAGACGGAATTTCTGACTCGACTTGGCTAATAGGTATTGGTCTCATGATGGCGAGAGCTTTGGCCAAAAATGGTGCTCACAAGGTCTACATTGGCGGACGACGACTCGACGTACTGGAAGCTGCCGCAGCCTCCCTGGGCGCAAATGTTGTGCCAGTCAAGTGTGATGTAACATCCAAGGAGAGTCTCCAGGCGGCCGTCGATTTTATCAAGCAAGACACCGGCTATCTGAACGTTTTGGTCTGCAACTCAGGCGTTGGTGGGCCTCAGTCCGTCCAGCTTCAGGAGGACACAACACTCGAGGAGTGGGCAGACTCAAACTGGGACATTAGCTTCGAGGAGCACACTGATGCTTTTGCCGTCAATGCCAGCGCCGTCTGGTTCACTGCCATAGCCTTCTTGAAGCTCCTCGACGCAGGAAACAAGAAGGGCAACTTGGAGCAAAGCTCTCAGATCATTGTCACCAGCTCCATTGCCAGTTTCAACAAGGCAGCTCCAGGAGGCTGGGCGTATGGCCAATCCAAAGCTGCAGCAACACACATAGCCAAGCACCTTTCAGCTGCCCTGCCGAGGTGGAATATCCGGTGAGCAGCGTCCGTCTGTGGTGTTCTTATCACACAAACTTATTACATGCATGAGATGACTGACGAGTCATTTACCATCTAGGGCCAACTGCATTGCTCCAGGATGTAAGTGACGCCAATTTCCGCCATCGGCCAAAGATAACCTCGGATACTGACATTGCGGCTTTAGTGTTCCCGAGCGAAATGGCCGCACCCATCGTTAACCGCTTCAACGAAAACTCGGATACTCCAGGCAAAGTGCCAGCGCAGTTCATACCCATGCAGAGAATGGGAAATGATCAGGATATGGCGGGAACTATTCTGTACTTGATTTCCAAGTCAGGGGCTTACTGCAACGGGCTGGTCATTGTCATCGATGGAGGTCGACTTTTGCGGTTCCCATCATTGTACTAGAGTGTAGGAGCACATGATTGAATGAGTAAAAACATTGTCAGCTCTCTGGCCGCCCCTTGATCGGTAACACGATGCCGGAAATAATCATCACCAACTGTGACTAAGCATCATCTGAGCATTTGGCATCTTGTTATATATCCATTGTCAACGTAATTACTAGGTCTCGACTCCGTAATACATAGTCAGGTCGTCAAGATACGAAGTGGACCTGAATAGGAGCGTGCGTACCTATTACCGACGCGGAGAACGAGATTCGGTGCTCGGTGTCCGATATAAGGCTGAGGCTTTTGAGAGCGGATAGGAGCATCATGGAGCTCCCCCCTTGGTGGCAAGCGGAGGACAGAAAAACCGAGACCGAGAAAATAAGAACACCCACGCGGTAAATTATACGCCTGATTTCTTATTTATTATCTGCTACTATAGCTACCTATATTTTTACCAATATTTACTATATCTACTTTTCTTTAGTAACTGCTACTATATTGACCTTTCTCTAGTAGCTGCTACTATATTGACCTTTCTCTAGTAGCTGCTATTATTTTTATATTTCTTTAGTAAATGCTATTTTACCTAAATATATAGTAAAATCCGAGGACTGGCCGAATACTACCTAGGCATTCCTCTACAAAAGCACTACTCGTACTTAATGAGCTGGCTAAGTGCCTATATTACTGAATGTATGCACTTATTCATTTTGCCGTCTCGCTTTTTCTGATCTCCGCTTGCCCCCTTAGTGGTTAGCTTAGAGATGCGCATTTAGCACGGGTAGTGAGGATGAGGACCACCAATCAACAGCCTGCAATTAGAGTAGACAAGATAACGCGCAAACAATAGCGAAATCCAAGTTTCGACTCGCCCTAGGAGGCAGACGTCGGAAATTCTCGGCTGAGAGTTTGGCCGGGACCCGCCCAACGGCTATTTGTTACCGCCAAGGCGCAAGCACGAACTTATCAGCCCAAGTGAATAACACGGAAATGGAATAATATGATCGGAAAGAGGCAGCATTCGTCTCGATGTTTTGTTCCGAGGAAGTCGAGAGCAGTTTGCGGGAAAAAGGAAAGGCGCTCACAGCAAAGTTCCCCGCAGGTACCAAGTGCTGGGTGTGTGTTAGGGTGCCCGAGGGCGTCTTGATTTCTTCCCCCTTTTTTTTGGATGGAGTTTTATAATAAAGAATGCTTTTTTCTCTTATTGTTATTATTAATTATTATTTTCTTCTGGTTCTTTCCCTATTGCTTGGGCTGTCTGTGCATTTGGTGGCTGATCAAGAAATCACTGATGATGAAATAAGTATGAAGTAATACTGCATACTCGTGTTTTTGACTGCAAAATGGAGCCGCAGCCTGATATTCCCATTCGGCTACTCCAAAACCCGCCATTAGCCAGCCCGGATTCCATTCTCCACAGCCGCCGTCAAGCTGCTGCAAGGAGCACGGGCCAGTTTGTATTTCGCAGGGATTCTGCTCCATAATCCGGGTGGGTTTTTGGGAAATCTGGCCCGCCCGGCAGTCGGACAGAGTCGAAATCAAGACAAGACAGCAAAAGGCTTGGAGACGTCATTGACGAAGCACATGTGAGACAAGCTGGTGGTCCGGCGGGCGATGCAACGCTTTGATGCCAATGGATTCCATCCAGCATGTGAATTCACAGGCTGCAGTGCACCTCCTGTCAATCATTGCAATTTACGAGCACGGGCTAATACGAAAATGCTCCGGAGCATGTGCGTGGCTGACGAAAACGCGAGTGACGTCGCTTCGGCTGGAGGGACTGTGCCATGATTGATATTGGCCTGGCTGAAAGCAGGACGGTTGGCGCAACCCCGCATTCTTTGCTTGCTGCACGCACATTGAGCATCTCGCTCTATTAGGTACCTAGTTCTCTAGTTGGACTCGGCAACGCGCTACGGAGCCCATTTGAGAGGCCCGTAACGAGTAACAGTGGCTGCTGTGGGGGATTTGTTGGTGATTGATGCTTTTACAGGCATTGCTCAGTTGAAACTCACCGTCAAGTGATGCTTGTTGGAGCGAAGAAAAGCGTGTAAGTACGAGGAGGATGACTACGAGTGTCTCCATAGGCCCTCTTACACATATACCCGGCAAATGAACAAAATCTCCGGCAATATCACACAGTAGTATGTAAGTGCATACAGCAGAGCCACTGCAAGGGTTCGTTCCAGGAAGGAGCTCACTGGACCAACTGATCCGATGCAGCCCAAACCAGTTTTGCAGTTCGTGTACCCGCCTTGTACAGAGTACGATACTCACCTTGCTGCCGTGTTGCTTCACCGGCCTCCGAGGCCGCCATCATAGCTCCATCAAAGGGCAAGACGGCCGCTGACGCATCTGGTTTGCTGCAACGAAACTGATGCCAAACAGGGCATTGCATTGCTTCCATCAGCAAAGCATCAGCAAGCATCATCCGCCGGAGCGCCACGCAAGGCACAGACATGACTAGCCGCGGCCAGGTGGATGGTTGGTAGACGAGACGCGGTGGCCCATGGAGGGGATACATCATCTCCTCCCCCGCAATTGGACTTCCGGCATACCGAAAGCCTAGAAGCTCTGGTCTGGTGCCTCTCCAACGAGGTTGCCTCCGCACCCGTGAATGCGACAAGCAGCAGCTCCTCGCCACATCTGGTGGAGGGTCGCCAGTGGACGAGAGCAGTTGCCAGGCCGTGATCAGCCATGGCGTGCACTAAGACGGCCAGTATTAAAATGCTCGACTCGCCGGGTTGTCTTGCTCGTTGCTTCTGACGCTTTCCGTAACACCTCAGAGTGATTTGATCATTGATCCCTTTGTCTGCCAGTTCCCCTCATCAATTCAACGTCAACGTTCAACGTCGTCGCGCAAAAGCGTTGGGTTCCAAAGGTCTCAATCCTGTCTTGTATCTGAATCGTCTCGCGTCTCACGCCTGAATTTGCGATACGCAATCAATCGCTTGCGTCGGAGCATTCCGAATCCGAGTTTCGGACATTGTTGAATTGCCAAACCACCAAAGGCTAGGCTTTCTCAACATAAGCTCTGTTCATCTTCAGGCCGTCTGCGCCCCTTACAAGCGCTTTTTGCCATCGCCGTCTTCCCCACCAGTGGCCCGGCCCTCGCGTGCACAAACCCATCCGGGGAGCATCGAATTCCCAAGAGACCCAACAACACCCAGCCTCGCAGCGCTCAACAACCTTGAGCGAGCGCTTGATCGCGGAGTTATCTGGTGAGTGAGCTCAGCTCCCGTTTCCCTTTCCCTTTCCGACCATCCCCCTTCCTGTTTGTTAGCGCCAATCTTGGACGGTGAGCGGAGCCAAGTGAGCCCGCTCTCAAATCGGAGCCGTTCTGCGCCTCCTAGACTTTCCGATCGGCAACCGCCTTTCATGGCTTTGAGTTGGGCCGACCTCAATGCTCGGGTATCGCGCCGGCTCCTGTCGGCCTGCCGTCGAGCTTAGGTCGATAGAATTTCCGATGACGGGATCACAGTCCCGAAGCCAGACCCAAATGCCTCTCTTGCTCCACTGGACACACCCCCCGTGCTCTCACTATACCACTCATATCATTGCTGTGTAAATATTGCTTGGGCTTGACTAATATGCCAAAGTCATTGAAGAACCAGACAGGGTCCTCAGTTAGCGAGGCTCTTACCCGGTGCGCCTGAGACATAGGATTTCGATAGCAGCTCTTATAAGGCGACCCCTTCCCCAACCGTAACAATGAATTCCATCAAGCAAGCCATCGAGTCCGCTCGATCAAGGACCTCGGACGTCATGAATACTGCCAAGAGAAGTGAGGCGGCCGCCAAGGCCTCCGACGTTATTCATACTCCTGTCATGCGAGCTGCCTTGCCTTTCATCAATGGAGGCATCGCCGGAATGGTAGCCACCTCTGTGATCCAGCCAGTCGACATGGTCAAGGTCCGCATCCAACTCGCTGGCGAGGGCACAACGGGAGGTCCCAAGCCTACTCCGCTGTCTGTCACTCGACACATCATTTCCAGTGGCAAGGTCCTTGACTTGTACACTGGCCTGTCTGCTGGTCTCCTCCGACAGGCTGTATACACAACCGCTCGGCTCGGCTTCTTTGATACCTTCATGGGAAGGCTAACAGAGCGAGCAAAGGCCCAAAATAAACAGATTGGTTTCTCAGAACGAGCAACAGCTGGCCTGGCAGCCGGTGGTCTAGCAGCCATGATTGGCAACCCGGCTGACCTGGCGCTGATCCGAATGCAGAGCGACGGCTTAAAGCCTCTTGCAGAGCGCAAGAACTACAAGTCAGTCATCGACGCACTGGGATCCATTGCCAAGGGCGAAGGCATCGCAGCTCTCTGGGCGGGCGCCGCACCAACCGTTGTTCGTGCCATGGCCCTCAACTTTGGCCAGCTCGCCTTCTTCAGCGAGGCCAAGGCACAGATGAAGCAGAACACAAACTTGTCCGCACATGCCCAAACCCTGAGCGCCAGTGCTATTGCCGGTTTCTTTGCCAGTTTCTTCAGTCTCCCATTTGACTTTGTCAAGACAAGATTGCAGAAGCAACAGAAGGGACCTGACGGCAAGCTTCCGTACAAGGGAATGGCCGACTGCTTCACCAAGGTGGCCCGACAGGAAGGCGTCATGAGATTCTATCGAGGATTCGGAACGTACTACGTCCGCATTGCCCCTCATGCGTAAGTTTTCTCACTCCTAACCGGAAATGTTCGTTACCAGTAGCTGATCTTTGTCTCATATAGCATGGTAACTCTCATCGTTGCCGATTACCTTGGTTGGTTGACAAAATAAAGGAGAGTGCTTTGATGTTTGGGTTTGGCTTTGCTTGGCGTTGACGTGGTGATGGTTATTTGCTGTTGTTTGACCGTTTTATGCTGTGTTGCGCTGCCTTGTTCGGTTGATTGGGTGGCAATGGAGTTTCCAAAGAAGCCACAGCGGGATTCTGGGCTCATTGGGAGCAGTTTTTGGAACAAAGAATCGTATTCGGATTACCACTGACATTTTAGACTTGATGTTGCCGTATAGCTTTTATTGCGCAAGATGAGAGAAAAATGCAATCCTTAATAATTAGGCCGTGTGTGCCCACTGTTAAAGAAACGCTGGATGAAGAGCAATCGTCCAAAGTGAAGTTGGTGGTTGATATGTTGACATACCAAAACGTAATCCAATGGATACTAAACTTTGAGAGAGAATTGGCTGCCTTTCATCCGTATTCAACCAACATATTTGTGATTCTGGATCCGTGTACAGTGTTGTAGTGGCCTTCTTTTCACTGTCTTGAATGTGTTGTTCCCTTAATAGCCAGGCCTCTTAAAAGCAGCACGTGACTTCGCGCCGCCTCTCGCGTGCTAACTGTGACGCAATTGCTGGGATCGCGGACAGGCGCCGCTCGGGATTCAACTTTGGTCAGCTTTGACTGACATGTGAGGATGGTCGGAAAGAGACGCAATGCTCCTCAGAGGAGCAGCCGGCAGCGGTCCAATGCCACTGATGGAAATGAGCCCGACATATATCAAGAGATGCTGGCCGAGGCCGGAATGTCTGCACCGCCAGCTGTCAGTTCACCGGAGAGGCCATTGAAGAGAAGACGCGGAGTCGTTCCATCGATTCAGAGACCAGCAGAACCAAATGAGCCTGCAAAAGTATCACTGGCTACAGAAGCACCAAAATCAGAGCTTGATCAGCAGGACGAGAGCGACGACGAGGAAGAGGATGCTGAATTTGAGGATGTCGTTATTCCTGAACCTATTGTCCAGACTGTCGAGTTGGAGTCAGACGAGGAAGAGGATGAAGATGAAGACGTGAATTTCGAAGACGTTGACTTACTTATGTCATTACCGGATGGAGACTCGGAGCAACAAGAGCCAAAGGAACTGGAACTCAACCTCTCAGCACAGAAAGCTGCCATGACATCCAAGCAAGGGCCTGATAGACGAAGACCAATCACCAACGAAGAAAGAGAGCGCCGCATTGATATTCACAAGACCCATTTGATCTGTTTGATGTCCCATGTGGCTAAGAGAAATCATTGGTGCAATGACACCCAAGTTCAAGACGCTCTCCGGTCTCGTCTGACAGATAAGATGGTTCAATATCTTACTCCGGGGACCAACCTATCGCAGTTCGGAAGAACCGAAAGTCTTAAGAATGGGCTCAAGCTTGTTGCAGACATGTGGAAGGCACAATATGAGATTACAGAGCGTGGCATGAGGAGATCCTTGTGGGCGGAAGAGGTGGAGCAGCTTGATAGTGTACGTGGCCCATCTCTGACAATGAAGGCTTGTTTCTGACTCGCCTTTTAGTACGTGCTTCCGAATGATATGGAATCATGTCTGGATAAGTCAGACTTTAGAGAAGCAGCCAGGACCTTACAAGGATCACGGGATGTCGGAGCTCAGCTGTATTGCGCCTTGCTGCGAAGCGCTGGTGTTCGTGCTCGACTGGTTTGTTCGTTGCAGCCTCTGGCATTTGGCTCTGCAGGACCGACTCTTCCAAAAGCCAAAGAGGCTGCCAAACCAAAATCCGTTTCCAAAGCCGAACAGATGCTATCTCAAGTGGCAAAATACAGAGAAATGGCGGCTGCGGTTTCGTCGACCCCATCCGCCGGTCCTTCTACAGCTAGACGCAGGTTGGGTCACCCAAACGCATCGGATTACAATTTCGAGCCCACCGCCGCTCCTACGAAGCCACGCCCAACCTTTTCATCGCCCAAACAAATACGCGAATCTTCTTATCCGATATACTGGGTGGAAATTCTTGACGTAGGGCACCAGAAATGGCAGCCTACGGACCCAGTAGTGACGCACACTTTCTGGAAGCCAAAGGCCTTTGAACCCCCCATTACAGACAGGGAAAACTGCTTATCCTACGTTATTGCATTTAATGCAGATGGCACTGCGAAAGATGTAACCCGGCGATATGCCAAGGGATATGCAGCAAAAACGCGAAAATTGCGTATAGAAACTGCGCTGGACGATGGCCAAAAGTGGTGGCGTAAAGTCATGAAGATGTATAAGCCCAAGACGACCAGTGATCTGGACCAGATTGAGGATATTGAGCTGAGTGGAGTGGAGGCGAGAGAGCCAATGCCGAGGAACGTACAGGATTTTAAGGGCCATCCAGTATATGCTCTGGAGCGTCATCTTCGTCGGCATGAGGTGCTCATTCCAGGGGCCGTGCCATCTGGAACCGTGGCAGCCGGAGCCCGCGCCCCTCTGGAAAAGGTCTTTCGCCGAAAGGATGTTCGAATTGCGAGGAGTGCTGAGAAGTGGTTCCGACTTGGCTATGAAGTCAGACCTGGAGAGATTCCTGCGAAATGGTTACCCAAACGAGCGCAAAATAAGAGGTCCCGGTATGAAGAAGAGGATCATGATGAAGGTGATGCGGGGACGCCGATTTACACGGTAGACCAGGCGGAAATATATGAGCCACCTCCCGTACGAAACGGCCGTATACCGAAAAACAAGTTTGGCAACATTGAAGTATACGTGCCTGGCATGGTTCCGAAAGGTGGCGTTCACATAGCGAGCGAATATGCCCGACGGGCGGCATATGCGTTGGGAATCGATTGCGCACCAGCGCTCACGGGATTTCAATTCAAAGGCCGACAGGGAACGGCTGTATTGAACGGAGTCGTCATTGCAAAAGAATTTGAAGAGGCTATTCACGCGACTATTCAGGGGATGCTCGATTTGGAGCAAGAGTGGGAAGATGAGAAGAGGCGATATGTAGCACTGAAGCTTTGGAGGCGTCTTCTCATGGGCCTGAGGATTCGGGAGAGGATATGGAGCGGTGTCGGAGAAGAGGAAAGGAAGGAAGCAGAAAAACAAGCAGAATTAGAGGCCGAACTAGGCGCGGAAAGCGATGAGACTGAGGAGTTTGATATGGTCGTCGACGACGATGACGAAGAGGGTGGCGGATTCTTGGTTGAATAGTATACCGGCCCTGGTGGAGTGACTCCTTATATATGACATGTAGCGCATACTTTGGATTTACTTTTGAGCGTTATAATCTAGGATTGTGTGCCTTTTGGCTTTTTTGCTGCTTTTGCGACTGGCCGAAGTTGCCTGGATTGACAGCAGCTTTGGACTCGGCTGCATGTGAATGAGGTTCTGTTGCGATCCCGAAGAAGAATACGAGCCATTCATTAGAAGGGGCAAACAGCAGTGATGATTTGGCTTTGCGCATGCTAACTACCTACTCTTCCATACGAAGCGACACATCTCCAGTTTCAGGATAGCAATCACGTTGAAAAACAGCGGCTTGGGCGCGTTTTGTCTGATTCGGGTCGATGTCTTTCCGAATCCCGGCCGCGACAATACGGACTGGCGCGCTTGGAGCAGTCATGGATTACTTTGACCAAAGGCGATGCTTCTGCGAGAGAACCTGTTGAGTGATCGATCGGCTTTGTATTGGATGATAAACGAGGCTGTGTTTGCCAAAGAGCTGGCTGAGGCAATTTGCGCTCGGAGTTACTCTGGAAACATGCGGTCTGCGCGAAAAGCTTAATGTTTTATCTTGTTGGCTTTTGTGTTTTTGGGTTGAAAATAAGTTCTTAGGGGCGTTGTTGCTCCGTATTTTAAGTGGGTTGTGTGATTTTTTGCGGGAGTTTCCATTGTTTTGATGGAGATGGAATGGGACGATGTTGTGTTTTGATAACAAAGGAAACCTGGTTAGTACTAATAAACGTATTTGTTCATACGAAACCATGGAATTGATTAGCATAGGTACTAATGTATACGAGTAGAAGAGCATCAGCAGCATCCAAAGCCCCCAGAAATCCAAATCCAGGGCACGGAATACGGACAACTTTGTCCGCCCATCTCCTGCCGCCGGTTTCTCCAGCACGGGGCGTTTGTATACAGTAGCGTCCGCGTATCCGGTGGGGCCATTGTTTGTCTCTAGGCCAATTGCCAGGGAAGGGCGCATTGCTTGACTTTTGCCTCTTTTCTTCTGTCCTGATCGAGGCGCGAACTGGCTTGCGACCAGAAAAGAAATCCCCAACATGCGCGAATAGCGGCATCAGGGACGGCTCACATCCCTCTGTCTCTGCGCTCTCTTGTTTTGTCGTTTCCAGAGCCTCGTACTCGTATGAGTTGTTGCCGCCTGCAGCTGGATGAGCTGAGCTAAGCCAAGGCCCGACCCCTTAGCCATCCTCACTAACAACGGGCGCTGGAGTGGCGTTTTGTTATGTGGATTGTCGTCTGCCAAGGTTCAGCGCAGTCTTTTTGCTACGATTGACGCTTCGACTCGATCGACGAGATACTCGCCCTTTTATCAAAATTTTCTCAGTTGCTGTTCCCATCAAGGTTTACCCGTGGCGTGCTCCAATCTGTCCGTTTTCTCTTCGAAACTCAACCGCAAACGGACCACTCTATCTGTGACGCCGACGGACGCAAGCACAGCCCTATCTATGGATGCGTGTTCTAAACTCAACGACTTATTTCTTCCCTCCCCCCCCTAACAACTATTTGATCTCTTTTTTTCTGTGGACGCTTGATAAATTTAAAGCTGCGGTGTACAGCTCTATATTTATCGCCCTCCTCAGGGCCTGTATTTTTCCTCTATTCGTCCTTAGCCGTTGTGGGTGTCCGGGAGGGCGAGAGAAATCGAACCACCCCAGTCTTCACGGCTGTCGAGCCAGCTCATCATCGCCATGGCTTTCTTCAAGCAGGTCCGGACTTTGATGTCCAAGAATTTCCGGTATCTGCTCTTTCGCCACCTCACAAAAGTCATCGTCATGGCCTTTCTCGTGCCAATCATCCTGGCCGCCTTCTTCAGCTTTGCAAAAAACCTCTTCGTCCCACCTGCGGTTTTCGGCATCGGAGAGGTTCATCCCATCAAAACACTCTCGGAGGCTTTCGATTCTGCTTTCAACAGTGGACGGTACAAAATTGTGCTTGTCGACAACGGATTCACGGGAGGGGGCATAGAGAATGTGCTGGATCAACTTCATACGCAGATAACGGCACAGGGGCCTTGGATCGACGTCGTCAGGGCAGACAGCGAAGATACACTGGTGACCGAGTGCCGAAGCAGCCTGCGAGGAGTTACGACTTGCTTTGGGGCTGTCGTCATGCGGTCGTCGCCAAATGAGGGAGACGGTGGTCTCTGGAACTACACCATTCGCACGGATGCTGAGATGGCTAACAGCCCCGTCAAGATCAACGTTGACATATCTGACAATCCCGAAGAGGTCTACCTTTTGCCTATTCAACGCACCATAGACGGCATCATTGCCGGTCTAAACAGCACCGACGCGGCACAGGCTCTGGCCAACACTCAAGAGATGCCCTTCACCAACCTGACTCAGAAAGAGAGAGAAATCAAAGTAAGGCAAATCTTCCACAAAGCCATTGTGAGTTTTATGGGAGTTGCCTTCATTGCCTCCATCATTTGGATTACATACCACTTGACCGGCCACATTGCTACCGAGCGTGAAACTGGCATGTCGCAGCTTCTAGACGCCATGATGCCTGTCAGCAAGCCGTGGATGTCACTGGCAGCCCGTATCATTTCCCACCATCTCTCTTTCTCAATCATCTATTTGCCCGCGTGGATTATAGGGTCCGCTATTGTGCGGTATGGCGTGTTTGCCTACACCAGCCTTGCCATTGTCCTCCTCTTCCACATCACCGCGGGCCTTGCTCTTGCGTCCATGTCTATCTTGTTTGCCTCCTTCTTCAAGAAGGCCCAGCTCAGTGGCATTACCGCTATTCTGGCCATCCTCTTGCTTGGAATCCTGGCGCAATCTCTCACCCAGCCCGCAACGGGACCCGTGGTGGTCTTGTCACTGCTCTTCTCGCCTTGTGCCTATGTCTACTTCATCACCCTCATGTCTCGCTTTGAGAGGCAAAATAGGCCAACTAACCTTGTCGAAATAGCCCCCGGTAGCCCCTGGAAGCTTCCAGGCATTGCTCTCTGGATCTTTCTACTTGTTCAAATCATTGTATACCCACTTCTTGCCGCAGTGATCGAGCAGCGCCTATATGGTACCTCCACAGAAGGCCGCAGCATATTAAAGGCCGGAGATGGAAGTCTTGGCGAAGTCGCTGTCAAACTTGACAAATTCTCCAAGATTTACAAACCTAGCTTCTTTTCGCGCGTGTTTGCAATGGGTTCCAAACCTAAGGAGCCTGTTGTAGCCGTCAAGGGGCTTAGTTTTGACGTCAGAAAGGGCCAGATTGTCGCCCTCTTGGGTGCCAACGGAAGCGGCAAAAGCACAACTTTGGATGCAATTGCAGGGCTGAACAGACTTACCAGCGGGTCGATTACAATCGACGGCAAAGGCGGTCTTGGCATTGCGCCGCAAAAGAACGTCATATGGGACGATTTAACCGTCGAGGAGCATCTCCTCATTTTCGACAAGCTCAAGTCACCATATGTACAGGCAACTAAAGAACAGATTACCGAGTTAATTGACTCGATCGACCTCGCCCATAAACGAACGGCTTTGGCTAAAACTTTGTCTGGTGGTCAGAAGCGAAAGCTGCAGCTTGGAATGATGTTGGTAGGCGGAAGTGCTGTTTGCTGTGTGGATGAAGTGAGCAGCGGCATCGATCCCCTATCTCGACGCAAACTCTGGGATATTCTGCTGGCTGAGAGAGGAAAGAGGACTTTGATTCTGACCACGCATTTCCTGGACGAGGCCGACCTTCTTGCCGATCACATTGCCATCTTATCCAAGGGAACCCTACAGGCCGAAGGTTCGTCTGTGGAGCTCAAGGATACGCTGGGAGGCGGTTACAGAGTCAACGTACACAAGAACCCGGATATCATAGAAACGCCTAATATCGATGGCGTGAGAAAGGAGGATGCCTTCGACCTGATTACCTATGTCGCCCCAACGTCTAGACTAGCGGCGGAGGTCATCAGGGCACTACAGAAGGAGAATATCACGGACTATCGCTTCTCTGGTCCCACTATTGAAGACGTATTCCTGCAGGTTGCGGAGGAAATCAAAGACGAAGAAGTCTTCCGAGAGACCGAGACCATTCTTGAGAAGATGCCAATCAAAGATGACAGCAGCTTTTCGCGGGATTCCTCCAGTCCGGGAGTGGGACAAGGGCTTGGCCTAAAGCTTCTTGATGGCAAACGATTGGGCTACTTTGAACAAGCCGTCATCCTATTCAAGAAGCGTTGGACAGTGCTGAAGAGAAATTGGGTTCTTTACGCCATTGCCTTTCTGCTTCCCATCATGGCGGCAGGATTGACTTCTCTCTTCGTCAAAAACCAAGCGCCGACAGGCTGCAAGCCCACTGACCAGGCCTCGACCTCTGATACTCAGGACGCATTTACTCAAATAGGTGACGGCGCCAGCCTTGTATTCCTTGCCGGACCATCGAGCAAATTCAATCATACGTTGATTTCGAGTCTCTTCCAACCCATCTTTGGTGTCAACCCCAGCCCTATCCTCAGTATCGCTGCGTCCTCGCTTAGCAACCTTCAGGTCGTCGATACTTTTGATGAATTCAATCAATTTGTTCAAGACAACAGCAAAATCCTTACTACAGGCCTGTGGCTCGGCGACGACACCACAAATCCCACCGTTGCCTGGGTTGGTAACGTGTTTGTTACGAGCCCACTTACGGCCCAGCAGTTCCTCGACGTGATGCTGACGAACACTACGATTGCCACATCATGGTCTTCTTTTGACGTTCCTTTCAACTCCTCCATTGGAAAGGCTCTCAATTTGGTCATCTATATGGGCCTGGCGCTCGCTTGCTACCCAGCATTCTTCGCCCTGTATCCGAGTAACGAGCGCAGGCGATTTGTGCGCAGCTTGCAGTACTCCAACGGCGTCAGGCCATTTCCCCTGTGGGTGGCGTATCTTCTATTTGACTTTACGATGGCCCTGGTCAGCTCCGCAATTGTCACTGCTCTATGGGCTGGACTGTCAAACGTTTGGTACCATATTGAATATGTCTTTGTAGTG